GGGAAGAGGCAGGTGCGCTCCCCGGGGAGGGGGTGCTGTTGGTTTCGTTGACCGGAGGGAGGTGCGCCGGAGCGGGCCCGCGGGCCGTGCACCGCGGGGTGGAAGCCGCCTCCCCAGCAGGCCACCGCAGACACTCGCGCGTGTGCGTTTACTTAGTGTTGCCAGCCTCCCGCGTCGGGACCTGCCGGACTGTTCACCCCTCCTGAGGTCAGGACCTCACACAGGCCCTGGCCTTCGCTGGCATTAATAGGTGTTTGTTGAATGAATGAACAAGCTTTTATGAGTGTCTCCTATGCCCAGGCACTGTTTTCGGTGCTGGGGACTCGGCGTGAACAGGGCAGCCTGTGTTCTTGGTGCTCAGTCTGGGAGGAGCCAAGTCCACACTGGCTGATTGTGAGCCTGATAAGTGAACAGAGTGTGCAAGGGAGCAGGACCTGCACTGATGGAACTGAGTCACTTGGCGAACGTTTTCTGTCCTGTGCCACTTCTGTCTCCCGACCGTTTCACTTCATCTTTTGGGGGGGTCCTTAATTCAAGAGGAAACACCCAAGGTCTGATAGGAATGGGGCTTGTGTGGGCCCCATAGGGACACCGTCACCTCACAGAGACGTCCTGGGTGACAGCAGGTGGCAGCCACAGGCAGAGTGGAGGCCGTCCTGGTGCCTGGGCCCCTGCGCCCTGGACCAGGCTTGAGTTCCCGGGCAGGTGCGCCTGAGGGGCGGGCGGGAGGCAGACCCTTCCTACAGAACAGGGAGATTGTTCAGCCACTGGAGGCTGAAGTGAGACACTTTATCACACCTGACTGACCAAACACTTTTATCCCCACCAAGCCTGGGTTTCCGCAGATGCCTTAATATCATGTCGGAAGTGTGTCCGGGTCTTTTTTACTGGCGCATCAGTGGAAGAGAAAGTGGTGTCTTTTTTTTTTTTGTCTTGTGATGATGGAACCCAGGGCAGTGACACCCCGAGTCCCTCTCTTGACTTTTTCCCCCAGGCAGAGAAAACTTAACACACTAAGATAAGCATGCGTGGTGGGATTTCAGGGCACCCGCTGCTGTGAGGCTGCCGATGTCCAAGCTGAAGGCCCAGCTTTCCTTGCTCCTGCTGGTGTTTCTTGGTGACTTCACATTCCCAGGCTGAGGTTGTGGATGGCGCCATCCTTTCTGGCTCGCTGAGGCTTTTCCTTGAGTGAGTGAGTGAAAGGAAGGGGGCTTGTCAGGGGTTTCCTTGGTGACAGTCCATGGGAAGACCTGGAGGAGAGAGGTTGTGCAGCTACTCAGGGGACTTGGGAATGGAAAGGTCGCCTCCCTTTTGTGATAGTTCTCAGGCCAAGAAGTTTCCTCTTTGGTCCTTTGGCGGTGGCGGTGGGGACACACAGTGCCTGCTCTGTACTCCCAGCACGGGTCTCCTCTTCTGGACTTAACAGAAAGCTCTGGTAATAGGTGCTTCACGCTGTGACTGAATTGGGGTGATTCCCACCCTACACAGGAAAACCCCTCGAACTTTGTAAGATTGCTGGGTGTGGTGCCCCACTCCTGTAGTCCCAGCACTCAGTAGGCTGAGGCAGGAGGATCACCATGAGTTTGAGGCCAGTCTGGGCTACATAATGAGCTGAAGTCCAGCCTGAAATGCATAGTGAGACCCTGCCTGAAAAAGCAAACAAACAAACAAAAGCTTTGTAATATCACCCATGCAACAGAAGAACAATGAGTGTGTATAGGTTGGGGTGGATGTATGGTTCAGATCCAACCGCTGCCACAGAAATTTAGCTCTTTACAAAGATTCTGCTTATAGAACCATAACGCGCCATTAGGCTTAAGTAGTGCTTGCCACTGGAGAAAGAAGCTTTGAACTTGGGTGTGGTGTCACACGGTGGCTTTTGTGTGTAGCTTCCTTTTCCCTTCTGACTGCTATACAGACAGGTTGTGCGTGATTCATCGGGAACTTGGAAGTGGTTACTTTGGATTGTATGGCCTCCAGAATGAGTGTGATAAGTGAAAGTGAAATTGGAATTATTTTTCTTCTAGTTAATTGTTTGAAAAATTCAAAAAACTGAGCAAGGACTGAGACTCTGGAAGTCGACCTTTCTCAGGCAGGTTGAGCAGTTTTATGTCAAGTTGTCTAAATTACTTTCTTAGGGGCTGGGGATTTAGCTCAGCGGCACAGCTCCTGCCTGGCAAGCGCAAGGTCGTGAGTTTGATTCCCGGTACCGGAAAAAAACAAACAAAAAAAACAAAGTAAATTACTTTCTTATTTCGTTTTTGTTTTTGGTACTGGGAATTGAACTCAGGACCTTACGCTTGCCAGCCAGGTGCTTGTGCTGCTGAGCCATATCCCTAGCCCTAAATTACTTTTTTAGAGTGTCCAATACCAGTAGCTCTGGACAGAATAGATAAAATTTTTGTCCTAAATGTCTTTCAACATGAATGACTAATGTTTTTCTTATAAGAGTAGTATATATATTAAATAATTAAGTAAAGAAAAAAAGCAGTATATGTCAGTTATGGGAAATTGGGAAACATGAGAATAATACACTATTTTACATGATCCCATACCTACAGCTTAACACTTTTTGGTTGATCTGCTTTTCATATACAAGGCATGACTCATTTCCTAATTTTATTAAATATTCTTTTACTTTCTTTTTTCTTTGCTGGGCCTTCCTTTTCTTTGCTGAACCCAGGGCCTTCTTACTGAGCTACATCTCCAACCCTTTATGTTTTACTTTGAGACAGGGTCTTGCTAAATAGATAAATTGCCTAGGCTGGGTTTGAATTCCCAGTCCTCCTGCCTCAGCCTCCCAGAATGGTGAGATTACAGATGTGCACCATATACTTAGCCTTTTGCTTCGTTTTGTGTTTGTTGTTGTTTTGTTTTGCTTATGAGACAGGGTTTCACTTTCTAGTCCAGGTTGGCTTCAAACTCCTATGTAGCCCAGGCTGGCCTGAGTTTATAACCCTCCTGCCTCAGCCTCCTGAGTCAGGATTATAGGTGTGCACCACCACACTGGCCTACAATATCTTTCACTGTTTTAAGCTTTGTGATATAAGGCATTAAATAGAGGCAAGAGTACAGCAGATCCCCTCTATGTGAACTCACGATTGCTTTAGTCTCTTCCCCTTCCCCTCCCAGTCTCGATCATTTTGAGCAAATCCAAAATGTATAATTTCATATTTCAGTAAGTCTCTCTATCTTTAAAAAATCATTGCTGTGATACTGTATTGTACCTGAACATTTTAATATTAAATTTCTTACTATAGTCAAATATCTGGTCATTTAAAATACCAGCTTTAATAAGGGTATAGCAGTAGGTTTGTGGCTAAACCCTGCCTTTTGTTCTTTATTTGTGGTACTGAGGATGAATGCAGGGCCTCACCCCTGCTTGGCCAGTGTACTGTACCACTGAGCTGTGCCCCAGCCCTTTATAAAATTTTGAGTCAGTCTTACGAAGTTGGCTAGACTGGGCTCAGGCTTTCGAGCCTCCTGCTTCAGCTTCCCAGAGTGCTGGGATTAGAGTTGTGAGCCAGCATGCCTGTACTTTTTTTTAGTCCATGTTTACAGTACATAACATGTACATTCCTTGCATGGAGTTGGTACATGTACACAACACATCTTAATTCCTTCTTCCATCTCCCTTTCCTCCCAAACTGTACTTTCTATACAGAGTTAAAAGGTGTATCATCCAATTCCCACATCCCAAGTGTGCAGTTTCACTGATTATTAGAAAGTGTGTTTAGTCAGACAACCATTGCTACAGTCCAGTTCTAGAATATTCTGCCGCCCTAGTAAGGTGCCCATTCCTGTAGCTGAGTGACCCTCATTCCTTCCCAGTCCTAGGCTCTCTGGCTTTGCCAGTTGCAGGCACTTCCTGTACACGGTGCCCGGTTCTTTTCATTGCTAAGTAGTATTCTGTGGAATGGCTGTAGTCTATACTTTCTTTAATCTTTTCCTGTTGTTGGATTTGGGGTTAATACATTTTCTCTATCCCAGAGAATGATATTCTTTAAATTTTTTTATCCGTATCTGTGTTGTTTTTCCTTAAGTTAAATTTCTTCATGGGATATTTCTGGGCTGAGGGATATTTTTCAGGCTATTTTTTTTTTTATAATAACAGTTGCCAAATCTCTGTCCAGAAGCATGTGAAAATGTACTTTCCCCCAAATCATTGCTGAAGATATTTTATTTTATAAATAAATTTTGCCGGATGTGGTGGTGCATGGCTGTGATTCCAATACTGAGAAGGCTGAGGCAGGAGGATCGCCGTCAGTTTGAGGCCAGCCTGGGCTATCTAGTGAGTTTAAAGCCAGCCTGAGCTGCACAGGGGGACTTTATCTCAAAAAATCAAAAAAAGAAGTAAATTTAGGGCTAGGAGTGTGATCAGCAGTGAAGCCTGCGCTTAGTGCACACAAAGCCCCAGACTTGATCCTCAGCACCAGAAAATACAGGTAAGTGATACAAATGAAAGTCAGTCTATTTTTAAATTTTAAAAATTTAAAGCAATTTTGTATCCTTTTCTCAGCTCAACCAGAATGTAAGTTCTTTTCAAAGAAAATTTGTTGGTGAGGTGAAGAGGTGTGAAGAACTGGAACGGATATTGGGTAAGTTTATTTTCCATTTTAATAATGTGCACAATTTGTTTTAGAAAAGTTAGAGAATCTAGTAAGCTGAAAGAAAGAAAAAGCAATTGTTCATATTCTCCCCATTGAGAAGTATGCTTTTTGCAGGTATTTGTATGCACTGTTTTTTCTTTTTTTGAGACAGGGTCTTGCTATGTAGCCCAGGCTAGCTTAGAACTCACAGTGGTCCTCCTGCTTCAGCTTCCCGAGTGCTGGGGTTACAGGCCAGTGCGGGGTTACAGGTGTGCTCTACCACACCTGGCACTTGTCCGCATTGTTTTTTCACCCTTTGTATCATTCATCTAGAGAGGCAAGGGTTCACCTACCTAATGGCCAGCTTATTTTGCCATGGCCTTGTCCTTTATTTAGTAGTGCTGCTGGCTACTCAGGTTCTCATGCTCCCCGCTGAACCAATCAAAGGAGGCCATTTATCTTGGTAAAGAGGAAGAAGCATTCATTCAAAGCTGGAGCCGGGGCCCACGTGCCCTGAAGCCCCGTAGTCTTCGATGCTACAAATCTCCACGCCTGCCTATCACTTCCGGCCAGCTTGCGCACATCCCCTTTCTAGCAGACAGGAAGTTGGGCTGTGGCGTCTGTGTTTTCTGTCACTTCTCTCACTTCATCAGGGTGAGAGAGGAGGGGTGTTGGCTGCGTGCTCATTGGAAGCTGTTCAAAAGTCTAGCTTTTGAAGCCCCATGCTGCCCTGCCAGTTCCAGTAATCCATTACTGTTGCCAGGCCAGGTCCCACAAGGTCCGCTGAAGCTTGCTTTGCATTTTGTCGGTGGGCTCTGAGGGTCTCTAGGGAGACCGTATGTGGGAGGGCCCAGTGCTGGGAGAGGCGCTCTGTCCTAGCAGAGGGGCTGCTGGGGTGGGCTGGGCCTACTTGGTCTCACTCGATTCTGGTGTCAGCAGGTGGTTTTGGGGTCTGTGCCCCCCCAGGGGGCGATGTGGTCCCATGGGATGGATGCTTCTGCTTGGAGCGGTCTCGGTTTTCCGGGCTGTGCTGGAGTCCAGTGTAACCATAGGCAGGGGAAAGGGACAGGTGCAGGAGAATTTGCTTTTTGAGGGATGGGTGAATGGAAAGCCTGTGGGTGGGGGCAGAGGATGTGACTGGAGGGATTTCTAAGAGCAGGGTGCTACTGTAGATTTTATTTACTTTTTTGGTACCGGGAGTTGAACTCACGACCTTGTGCTTGCCAGGCAGGCACCGTGCCGCTGAGCTATATCCCCAGGTATAGATTTTTTTTTAAATTGGGGATTTTGAACATTAACAGAAATGTTCAGCCATCTGCACTGTGTTGCTGCTCACATCACTGGAACCCCGATAATCTGTGTGGATGGCGTCATTAGCGTGGCGCTGCTTCCCTGTTGCACAGTGGGCATGAGGTGCTGGGCGGGGTGAGGGGCAGAGGTGGGGCGTGAACTTGTCCGAGGCTCCCTGTCTCGTGAACTCTTGCAGACTTAACAAGAAAAGGAACTCTCGTCAATTTAGGAACAAATTGGGTTAAATGATTTGCATTTATTTCTAGAAACCTCTTAAACCTAGTGCTTTTTTGGTGGGTGGGAGCCTGAGACAGGGCCTTGCTAGGCAGTCCAAGCTGGCCTTGAACTCACTGAGTGGCTCAGACTGGCCTTGAACTCATAGCCAGCCTCCTGCCTCAGGCTTCCAAGCACTGGGATTACAGGTGTGCACCACTACGCCCAGCACACTGGGTGCTTTTTGCTATCAAGCTGGTGATACAGACTTGCTTTTCTTTATCCTTCTCTCCTTCCAGCTTTCTTTCTTTCCTTTCCTTTTTTTTTTTTCTTTTGAGACAGGCTCTCCCTCTGTAATTCAGGCTGACCGTGAACTCATTGTGTAGCCCAGGTTGGCCTCAAACTCATGGCATTCCTTCTGCCTCAGCCTCCTAAATGCTGAGATCGTAGGCATGTGCCATCATGCCTGGCTCCCTCCAGCTTTCATTTCTTCATTTTCCAAAATACTGTAAGAGCTCTCCCAGGTATTGTGACTTCTGAGCTCAAGAGAAGGACGGGTTTGTTTGTTTGTTTGTTTATTTATTTATTTATTTATAGTACTGGGGGTTGAATCCAGGGCCTGTACACTGAGCTACATCTCCAGCCCCTTTTAAAATTTATTCACTACTATTTCCCCATTTACACAGTCGCTCACTTACGCAGCTTTCATTTACTGGATAGTTGCAGGGCTGCAGGCCCTCTGTTTGATTCAGGACGCTCAGTTCTGCTGCTGAGAACGTGTCTGGATGACTTAGGGGAGGCGAGGTCGAAGGCATTGCCTCGCAGCCAGGGTGTGAGCTACAGGCGCAGCCCTCTACCTCCTTGGCCTCTGAGCTGTTCTCTCCAGATCTGTCTTGTCTCGGTGGGCTTTCTGCCCAAAACCTGCAATTCCAGTCTCATCAAAAGCAAAACCTGAGCCGGGTGTGGTGGTGCCCATCTGTTGTCCCAGCACTCTGGGAGCCCAAGACAGAGGATCACAAGTTTGAGCCCATCTGAGGCAACTTAGCAAGACCCTGTCTCAGAATAAAAAACCAAAAAGGGAGTCCTCTTGTCGTGTCCCATTGCTGCCATCATTGTGCAGCTGGACAGTTCATCCACTCACCACACTGGCCTTATTTTATTACTATTTTTTATTTTGAGACAGGGTCGCACTAAATCACTAAGTTGTCCAGGCTGGGCCAGCACTTGCGGACCTTCTGCGTCAGCCTGCCACAATGCTGGGGTGACAGGTGTGTGCCGCCACAAGACTCTTGATGTTAGTGAACACATAAATTGGCAGTTCCACGGTCCCGTTTCCAGTGTCAATAGCGCAGCTGTGTGGCCTGCACACTGCACCAGGGTGGTTTTGCTGCCGGAGGAGGCGAGGATCTTGCCGGACACAGCTCTTCTTTTTTTCAGTACTGGGAATTGAACTCAGGACCTTGCGCTTGCCGGGCCTGGCCCTGAGCCATATCCCCGGCCCAACGCCAGCTCTTCTGAGGGCTGCAGAGAAGCTGCGTGGCTGGCTGTTGGGGATAGTGGCTGGGCGTCACTTGGGCTGTCTCCACACTTGCAAGTGTGTCCCCAACACTCTCTCTAGTCTACAGGGCAGAGGCTCAGAAGTTCCTGGGTGCCAGTTGAGCAGTGCAAATAGTTGGAGGAATTTGGGCAGACACTCCTCAAATTATTGTTCATTTTGCCCTTGCAGGTCAATCTCTCTAGGCTCCCTCTGGGCAGCTTTGCAGATCTTTAGGACAAAGTTTTAAAAAGTGGCCCAAAGTCAGTTGGGACAAGCAAGAGTTTTATGTATTCAAACCTGGGGATTTAGAATGTTGTGACTGAAATGTACTGTGGGAGGGTTTTAGTTTTTTGTTTGTTTTGTTGGGTTTTGTGAGACAGGGTCTTACTATGTAGTTCAGGCTGGTGTTGAACTCACTGTATAGCCCAGGCTGGCCTCAAACTTGCAGAGATTCTCCTACCTCAGCTTCCCGAGCACTGGGATGACTGGCATGTACCACGCCACAGCTGTGGTAGCTTTTTGTACCTGATTTGTTTCCCTCTTGTTTTCACAGTGTATCTGGTACAGGAAATCACTAAAGCAGATATTCCCTTGCCTGAGGGAGATGCCAGTCCTCCTGCACCGCCTCTGAAGCAGGTTCTAGAAATGCAGGTAACTTGACCCTAAAAAAGCTGGTGGTTTTGTTGGTTGTTTTTTTTGAGGCGGGGTGGTAATGGAAATTGAACCCAGGGTCTTTGCACCAAGCTACATCTCCAGCCCTTAACATTTTTTATTTCCTGCTAAGTTGCTAAATTGCCAGGCTGTGCTGGAACCTGTGATCTTGCTCCAGCCTCTCAGTGCTGGGATTACAGGCCTGTGCCCTCAGGCCTGGCCCATTCTCTTTAGGGATGTAAGTCGTGGGCTCCCTTCTAGGTGCTCGTGTCCAGAGGCCCATGAGAAGTAGGAGGTCATCAAATCCGCCACATGATGTTGACAGCGTGCATTCTGGGATCCTGTTGTGTTTCAGGCCTCTCCCAGTACCAATGACTGAGGCCCCTGGCAGGGCTCCTACATCCTTTCCACACTCACCTGATGCTGCCCTGTGGCTTTCAGGAGGCCAGTGAGGGCAGCAGACAGCATGCCGTCCCCCTAGACCCAGGGTGCTGTAACCTATTAGCATCTCCCTGAGAACCATCTAGCGAGGATCCTATCTGATCCTCGTATAGTTTATTTCTCCTAGAAATGGCCAGGTCCCCATTGCTCTTTGTTTATTTTTTAATTGTTTGGTTTTTTGGAGACAGGATCTCTCTACATAGTTCAGGCTGGCCTTGAACTCCTGGCGAGCCTCCTGAGTGCTGGCGTGAGAGGCGTTCACTGCCCTGCCTAGCACTTACTGCTCATTGTAAACAGTGAGTGTGGTATAGCTGAAGCCCTTCCCTGTCAGCTGCTCTATTTGCCTGTCTGGGAGGAGATCACTTCCGCTCTAGCCTGTGGGTTTGGCCCGTCCAACGGGTTGGTTACGATACCATTGCAAACAGCAACTGCTCTTTCTAGTTATATAAAGCAGGGCACCAGTGGTGAGGGGTGTGTGTTAAGTGGCTTCTTTGAGTACAGTTCACCCATTCAGTGATGTGCTTTATGGATGCTTGTAGCTTTTGTTGTAATGGTGAAGTACTGGTATGATCTGTTCTCAAGAATTTTTATGTCCACATAATTCTGTCAACAGCACATGCCCAGAAACTCTTAAGTTGGAGACTAGGAAAATGTATCTTTGGAAAAGATGATGTAAATTTTTTCTGTGTGTTGCAGATCAAAGGATAGGTTGACTTAGCACAGGGCAGCGGTGGCGAACCTGTAGCACTGGAGGCTCCAGAAGGTTCGCCATCCCTGGCAGAGGGGAGTGGGCAGGCACAGGCAGAAAAAGGAGAAGAAATGAGGAGAGAGGGGGCCCAGCCTCCAGTTTCTCAGTTCCACGTGAGGCGTGGGTCTCGTAGGAGTTACAGGTGGCCTTTCAGACCTTGGTGTGTTTTTACAAACTTACGTAAATACTGGATTTTTTAAAAATGCCACTGGCTTTGGTAAGTCATAAAAAGGTTACTAGCTGTGGGCCATAGTGACATACTCCTGTAATCCCTGTAATTTTTTATTTTGTTTGTTTCATTTTACAGTACTAGGGATTGAACCCGAGGCCTTTGCACCGAGCTACACCCCCAGCCCATGCCTCCCCACTTCTTTTTCTTTTTAAATTTGAGACAGGTTCTCACTAAGTCGCTCAAGCTGGGCTTGACTTTGTGATCATCCTCCTCCGCGCTGTCCAGTGACTGCTGTCTCATTGTAGGAGCAGCTGCAGAAGCTGGAGGTGGAGCTTCGAGAAGTCACCAAGAACAAGGAGAAACTGAGGAAGAACCTACTGGAACTAATCGAGTACACCCACATGCTGAGGGTGACCAGGACCTTCGTGAAGCGGAATGTGGAGGTCTGCGGTGGCTCTGGGGTGGGGCGGGCTGCTGCCTTATAAAAGCTCCTGCCGGAGCTGGCGGGTTCGTTACCAGCCCCTGAGGCGTGCTGCTTCCTCAACGTGAGGAGCTCCACCCGAGCTGTGCTTCTGGGGGAGCGGGGCGGGAGTTGTGCCGCACCAAGAGAGCTTTGGGACTTGGACGTTAGGGAATGGGTGCGCCAGACTGAGTCTGCTTTGCAAAGCTCCGGCTCCCTGCGTTGGTTGGTCGAGCCGTGACGGTACTACTTATTTCTCAGATGCTCTAGCTTGCAGTGGAAAGAATCTTTTTATGATCATGGGAGAAAACGGAATCGGGGAAGTTGAACCCTAAAGTTAAGTTTTCTTTAATTGTTAAGGTTAAGAAAGTTTTTAAAAAAAATCTAATCTATGAGGATAAAGAAGAGGCTGTGTGGTGTGCTGCAGCCCGTGGGCCCTTAATGGAGAGTGCTTGGTATCAGAGGTGGTTTAGGGTTTGGAGTCTTGGATTGGGGAATATTTATGTAGACTTTACAGGTTAAGAATGCCTAATATCAGAAGTGTGGATTTCCGAGTCTGGGGCTCCGGGTGCCCAGCCTGTCCGTACAGGAGGAAGGAGCCTGCCCCGCTGCCTTGCGGCCACTCCAGCTCAAGAGCCCTGATCAGGTTGTGGGCTTTAGCATTAAGCCGTGACCGAATTTGTAGATGCCCAAGTAGCTGACAGAAAAAGGGTGAAAAGTTGTCTTCTTGCATATGAGCTGAGTTACACACCTCACACGTGTGGGTACTTTGCGCCCGGATCTGAGTAGTTCCTGATGCTACTTGTGTGGAAAGAGGATGTGAGACATTGTCACCTGGAATGACGCATGCTTGGTTTTCTGTCTCTTTCCAGTTTGAACCCACTTACGAAGAGTTCCCTCCCTTGGAGAGTGAGTGTTTGTTGGACTACAACTGTATGCAGAGGCTGGGAGCGAAGCTGGGGTAGGTACCAAGGTGGGACACAGGCCCCTTGTGCTGCAGGATGCTGGGTGAGCGCGGACGAGGCTTGTTGGGGCAGACGCTAGCCCCTGTGCCTGCTGGGACCCTCTCAGCTGTGTGGACGCCTGGCACGTGCTGGGAAGGGTCTTGGTGTCGTGAGTTGTGAAGAAGTGACGTCGATGTCACTCAGTATTGCTCGAGAGTCCGATATAACTGGGCTGGGCGGCACCAGCTAAGGACACGGAGGGGCTAAGCTGAGCTTCTTAGCTTGGGGCTTTACTGGGCTTTTTCTGTGTACTCTTCCGGCTGACTTGAGCTGGTGATGACTCGCTCCCTTGTGTGATTTTTTTAAAAATGCACTTCTGTTCCTTGGTCAGTTCTCTGAAGGCGTTTGGAGGGGCTCACTTTGTTTTCCCCCAGCGAGGGCTGTGTTTGCCTCGGCCAGACAGCTGCACGCACTGCCCGCCCAGACTCGTCCACGTTACTTCCTCAGCACGGGCTACACGGGGTTTGGTTCGGGTTTTGGTGGAGGAAGTGGTGTGAATGTGAGCCTCAGCCCTGACTGGTTCTGATCTGTGGCTGCAAATCCTCAGCGTGGGTGTCTTCCTCTGTCTTTCTGTGTCTCACACAAAAACTGAGAGGGCCCTCACTTGTAGGCACCTTTGCAAAGTGGATCGGTTTGGCACGCCCCGTTCGCTAACGTCCAGGTCCCAGCTCTCGGGGATTCAGTTCCGTCCCTTCCCTTGTGTGGGCCCAGTGCCTGTCGTGTGGTCCCCATGCTGGCACTAGCCAGGGTTAAAGTACTGGCTCAGTAACAGCTGCCCCTTCTGTTTTATTTTCCGGGTCTGGAGATTGAACCCAGGATCTCTCTCTGAGCCGCATCTCCAGCTCTATTTTATGTTATGTTAGTTTTTTGAGACAAGGTCTTGCTAGGTTGCCCAGGCCAGCCTCAGCCTTGTAATCCTCTTTCCTCAGCCTCCATGTAGCTGTGCTGACAGGCATGTGCCCCTGCACCAGACCTCAGTTACACTTTTAAAATGATGCTTCACAGACGTTTTATCTGGCATTTGAGATGTGTTGCAGTTGGGGGCCCTCAGCCTGACTTCGCCATTTTGCCGGGCACGGGAGCCTCCGCGTTCTCCCACTGCAGCTTCGGCTGACGGCAGCCTTTCCTCGTGCTCCCTCATGCTCAGGTTTGTGTCTGGCCTCATTCAGCAAGGCAGGGTGGATGCGTTCGAGAAGATGCTATGGCGAGTCTGCAAAGGGTACACCATCGTGACCTACGCGGAGCTGGACGAGCCCCTGGAGGACCCTGAAACTGTGAGTGCCTCTCCCGCCCCCTTGAGCCACAGCGGACTCGCAGCAGGGTCAGAGGCAGCACAGAGCCAGCGTCCCATAGCCTGCATGTGGCTTCCGGGCCTGAGTCCCCAAGCGCAGAGTGCTAGCCTACCGTATGAACCAAGCTCCACATCTTGGTTTTTTGTTTTTTTTTTGGTACTGGAAGTTGAACCCAGGACCTCACTGGCCAGGCAGATGCTGCACCACTGTGCCACATCCCCAGCTCTATGTCATCTTCACTGGTTTAGCTTTTAGTGCTGGGGAATGAACCCAGGGCCTTTGTACTGAGGTACATCCTTAGCCCTTTTTAAATTTTTTATTTTGAGATAGGGTCTCCCTAAGTCACTAAGTAGCCCAGGCTGGGGTTGAACTTGAGATCCTCCTGCTTCAGCCTCCCAGAGTGCGGGGCTGATAGAGGTGTGCCACTGCGCCTGGTTTCACCCTGTTGGCTTCATCTTGCCCATCCCTCTGGCACTCATGCCTTTCCTTTGCTGTGTCCCTCCCCGTCAGTGGGAATGGAAGTCCCTACCCCTCCGAGGGTGGAGGTTTTGTCCTCTCTGCTGCAGTGTCCCTGGTCCTGTGCTGGCCCCTGGCAGAGAGGTGAAGAATTTGCTTCGTTCTCTGGGCACCGAATTTGGGGCGCATTAGGCAAGCCGTGTGCGGCCCCTGTTTTCCTACTCAGGTTTCATAGAGTTCTGCTTTGGTGAACATTTGTAAGTGTGCTCTGTTCTCCATCGTCCATCTCCCAGCATGATGTTCCTTTAAAGTCACGGTGAGCCGGGCGTGGTGGTGCACACCTGTAGTCCCAGCCCTTGGGAGACTGTGGCAGGTGGGAGTTCAAGGCCAGCCTGGGCTGCACAGTGAGAGCTTGGCTCAGAAAACAAAATACAGGAAAAGAAAAAAAAAGGAAAAAGTTACGTATATGAACTGCCGACTCTCCTTGTCCTGGTAGGGGGAAGTTATAAAGTGGTACGTGTTCCTCATATCCTTCTGGGGAGAGCAGATTGGCCAGAAGGTGAAGAAGATCTGCGACTGGTGAGAAGCCACACTGCATCTGCGTGATCTGGCTGTGCAGAGCCCTGCTTCCTCGGTCTCGCTCAGCAGCTGCAGAGAAACACCCCAGGCTCCCACGGCCTGCTGTTTTCCATGTTTCTTTCCCTTCCCTTGCCTTCCGTTCCCTTCTTCCTTCCTTCCTTCCTTCCTTCCCTCCCTCCCTCTCTCCCTCCTTCCCTCCAGCATATTTTCACTCTGTAGTCTAGGCTGGCCTTGAACTCACAGAGATCCTCTTACTTCAGTCTCTAGAGTGCTGGAATGTGCCCACCACACCTGGCCTGAAGAGCCAAACTATTAACCACTGGATTTGTCTTCTCTTACCAGGGTGTTACTTAAAATATTTAAAAGTAGCAGTAGGGTATTGTGGCGCATGCCTGTCAAACCAGGACTCTGGGAGGCTGAGGTAGGAAGACTGCAAATGTGAGCTCAGCCTGAGCAATTTAGCAACTTGCAAGATCTTGTCTCAAAATTAAAAAAAAAAAAAAAAAACAAAAAACAAAATTGGCTACGTGTTAATAGTATTTCCAGGGCTGGGGATATAGCTCAGTGGCGCACTGCCTGCGTGGCAAGTGCAAGGTTGTGAGTTAAATTCCTGGTACCCCCCAAAAAAAGTTCCAGATTTGACCTTTTCCCTGGACTCAAAGTTTGGTGTCTGCCGAGGATGGGCTCAGATTTCCTGCATGGCTTCCCGTGGCTTTTAGCAGCATGGGTCGCCTGGCTGTCACCATGAGCTGCACCTGGGTTGGATTTGCCCTGCCTGAGGGGCCACGTAGGCACTGGCCCAGCCTCGCACCCACGCCGCCTCACTGGGCTCCAATGGGGAGTGGCCGTCCGCGCGTCCTTCCCCACGAGGCGAGTGGCCGTCCCTCTCTTCAGAGACGGTGCAGTGCAAGGGGCTGTTGGTGCCTGGAGAAAGCCACAGAGGGGAAGGGCTGCGGGGTTGTGGAAGGGGAGCGGGCTGGGGCCCCAGGCGCGGCTGCGAGCTGCATGTTGAGCGTACACGCAGGGCCTCCTCAGCACTGCTATGCGCCCGCATCTGGGGCTGCTCGGTCCCCATGGAGGGAGGTGGCCTGCAGCGAGCTTTTTGCTGCTGGTGTTGGAGCCGCTCTTCTAGTCCCTGGGCTCAGCCACGTCTCCCTTTGCCCTCCAGTTACCACTGCCACGTGTACCCCTACCCCAACACGGCCCAGGAGCGCAAGGAGATTCAGGAGGGGCTCAGCACTCGGATCCAGGACCTCTACACAGTGAGTAGCTGGGTCTTCGCCTCCCCAGCTGCGGCTTGCTGAGAAGAGCCTCGGGTCTGGTTCCCGCCTCCTAATGGGGGCGCCTTCTGAGCCGGAGCAGCCCTTCCCTTCTCCCGGCGCTTTTATTACTCATTTAGCCACTTAGGAGCGGGGGAAGGGGTGGGACTTCAGAGTCCTTGGTCGCTCTGGTGTGTTAAGCGTCACTACTGACCACAGAAGAAAGCCCCCGAGAGTGGCAGCCGTCATTTCACCTGCACTGTGGAAGGCGCGTCTCTTTTGGTGGCAGGTGGCAGGTGGGGGATTCAGGCCCATTTCAGCCAAAGGGGCTGTCTCAGCGGAAGGGCCACAGTGTGCCGTGGCGGCTCGAGGGTGACGGCCCCCCTCCTGCCAGGTGCTACACAAGACCGAGGACTACCTGAGGCAGGTGCTGTGCAAGGCCGCCGAGTCCGTGTGCAGCCGTGCCGTGCAGGTGAGGAAGATGAAGGCCATTTACCACACGCTGAACATGTGCAGCTTTGACGTCACCAACAAGTGCCTCATCGCCGAGGTCTGGTGTCCTGAGGCCAACTTGCAGGAGCTGCGCCGGGCGCTGGAGGAAGGCTCGGTGAGGCCTTCGCGAAGTCGGTGGCTGGGGTCTGGGAGGGGCTGAGAAATAGGGGTCCCACAGGGTGCGGCGAAGGCGCTGGGCAGAGCTTTGGAGAGCTGGTCATTCTCAGCCCTGTGTGTTGGGGCACTAGGAACGAACCCAGGGCCTTGGTACTGAGCTCTAGACCTTTCTGTTTTTTTATTTTGGAGTGAAAGAGTATACATTTGTCTTTTTTCTTGGTTCTAGGAATCGAACTCAGGAGCTTATTGTTTTTTATTTTGGGATAGGGTCTTGCGAAATTGTTAAGTTGTTGGAGCTGCATTTGAATTTGCAGTCCTCCTGCCTCAGCCTCCCAGAGTGCAGGGATTGTGGGAGTGCCACCATGGCTGGCTCCTACATTTTGAATTGCTCTTTTAGAGCCAGGGAGGTGACCTCCGTGGTTCCTCCAATGAAAGATAGCATTGTTGCAGTTGTGTTTGTCTTGGAGTGATGTAACCACAGATACGCAGCTTTGAATAGGTACTCTTTCACCTTCCTTTTTCCAAACAGAAAGGTGAAGGCTGCGAGCCCTTCCTCCTGCCCTTTGTACTTCTACGCTTCCCGCTTTCCTTAGCACTAGGATTGTGCGTGCTGCGGCTGCGTGTGTGGCTGCTTCCTGGGCATTTAGGTAGTTTCCAGTGTGCAGATGCCAGGCTGTGGTGACCCCTGGCCTTGCTGTGTTATCCACCAGCCCCACTCAACGCCAGCTAAGGCCTCGTGGGACCTGCTGGCCCGTGTGGGCGACACCTTGCCTTGTGTCCTCCTGGGGTGCTTGGTGACCGCGTGTTTGATGTGCTGTCCGTGCCCTCGCCTGTGTTCTGCCGGGTGGCTGCTCTTTGTCTCGCTGGTACCTGAGGCCTCCTGAGGTTAGGGACGCGGCTGCACTTGTCCAGGCAGCGCTGGGCTTTGGCCCCTCTGCACCTCTCCGCTTGCTGTCTCCTGCGCCCTCTTCCCCCACCGTCTCAGAGGCCTCAGCTGCAGTTTTGCCACCCCTGCCCTCCGCGTGGCAGCTGTCCCAGCCTGTCCCTCACCTGCCCTTCAGCCCCGTTCCTGTCCCTGGGCCCCAGTTCCTATAGGAGACCACAGCCGCCGCCCACTGCCCACCCAGGGACCCGTTCTGCCCGCCACCGCTGCTGTCCTCTGAAATGGGGATGGCCCCTCAGCCTCACTGCACACAGCTCGCCTGGAGCCGCGTCTAGGGTTTGCTGGACACTGGCTCGGCCTGGTTCCGGGCCCAGCAGCGGTTTTCTTTTCCATGTGAAGAGGGAGAGCGGGGCTGCGCTGCCCTCCTTCATGAACACCATCCCCACGAAGGAGACACCGCCCACGCTCATCCGCACCAACAGATTCACCGAGGGCTTCCAGAGCATCGTGGACGCCTATGGCGTGGCAAGCTACCGCGAGGTGAACCCAGGTGCGGGCTAGGCTCCCGTGGCACCTCCCCGTCCCGCCAGAGAACGTGGGGACATGGGGACGGGTGGCTGTGAGTGAGGCCTGCTTGCGCCCTCTCCGCAGCCCTCTTCACCATCGTCACCTTCCCGTTCCTGTTTGCGGTGATGTTCGGAGACTTCGGCCACGGCTTTGTGATGTTCCTGTTCGCCCTCCTGTTGGTGTTAAATGAGGATCACCCCAGGCTGACCCAGTCACAGGAGGTGACGCATCATCAGGGCTCGGCGAGGTTTGAAGAGGGCGTCTCTGGGCTGCGCTAACAGAGCGGTAACTGCTCTGCACCAAGTGTGCGCCAGCCACCTCTGGGTGCTGGGGACATCTGTCACGCTAGGGGTTTTCTTTTTTTTTTGAGACAGTGCCTCGCTATGTAGCCCCAGCTGGCCTTAAACTTGCAGTGATCCTGTGCCTCAGCCACCCAAGTGCCCGGCTAGGCCCGGTGGTTTCCGAAAGGTGGGGGCTGGGAAGGCCATGCCGTGTGCATGCTGACGGGGCGCTCCTGCTCTCCCCAGATCATGAGGATGTTCTTTAATGGCCGCTACATCCTCCTGCTCATGGGCTTGTTCTCGGTGTACACGGGGCTCATCTACAACGACTGCTTTTCCAAGTCGGTGAACCTCTTCGGCTCGGGCTGGAACGTGTCGGCCATGTACAGCGCCAGCCACGCTGCGGAGGAGCAGGGGAGCCTGGTTCTCTGGAAGTGAGTGCCTGGGCCGGGCGGGGCGTGTGAGCCCCTCGCGTTCTGCTCCCCTTGCCTGCTGACCCTGCCTCTGCCTTCGGTTCCAGCGACAGCACCGTGAGGCACAGCCATGTGCTGCAGCTGGACCCGAGCGTCCCTGGCGTGTTCAGAGGCCCTTATCCTTTTGGGATCGACCCTGTGAGTGCCCCATCCTGGGCCCTGCTCCTTGTGCCTGAGGCGGGATGGCCGCAGCGCTTCCCAGGCTGTGTGGCCCGGTTCAGCATGGAGAGGGAGGGAGGGAGCGAGGTGCCCTGGGCCCCAGGACCTAGACAGACCAGGTCCTTGTCTCTGTGTGTGTACATGTGTGCGCACACCGCCCCCTGTGTGCTAACTGTGTGTGTGTGTGTGTGGTCTGTGCCACTGTGTGTGGATTTACTGCCCCACCTTTGCGTGTCCCCCAGTCCGATCCATGTTGGGGCTGTAGAGCTGACCACAGGGGAGCTGGGGCTCTTGTGCTGTATGTCCAGGCCCCGTCCTGAGTGAATGTGACACTCAGGTGCCCTGCGTTGCTGCCAGCCTGAGTCTCGGAGTGATCTAGAAAGGCGCCTGCAGGGTGCAGCTGCCGAGAAGCTGCAGGTCACCGTGTGCTGTTCCCCAGGTGGATGTGGCCTGGGGGTGCTCGCGGGAGGATGAAGTGGCCCCAGGTGCTGCAGTCCCCGCTCCACACCCATAGGGGCATGGCAGACTGGCTTGCATGAGGTGGGATTGAAAGATGGGGCCTCTCTGGCCCTCCAGGCTTGCCTGGGAATTTGCATGCTGGTTTCAGCTGTCCTGGGGTTGAAGCCAGGCCCCGTGAATGCTGGGCCAGCGCTCTGCCATAGAACCTCCTCCAGGCTTCGTTCTTTTTTTGCATTGGGAGTTTGACCCAGGCCCTTACACATACTAGGTGGACACTGCCACTGAGCGCCAGCCCCGCCCAGCCCTTTTTATTTATTTATTGTTTTCATTTTGAGACAAGTTGGCCAGGCCGGCCTCCAGCTCTTTTTTTTTTTTTTTTTTTTTTTCTTCGCATATTGAAATTTTTTTTTTTCCTCTTAGCATATTGAAATTTCAGCCTCCAGCTCTCAGTCCTCCTGCCTCAGCCTCCTCAGTAGCTGGGATTATTAGTGTGCCCCACCATACCCACCTGGAGTGAAAGCAGATCTTAGGGTAGTCTCGGTTTGAACTGTGTGGATGTCATTATGTAAATATAGTAAGGGACAGTATAGTAAGTGGAAATGCGAATGAAATATAGTAAGTGGAAATGCGAATGAAAAGCCATCTGGTGGCATCTCCTGAGCTCTGCACATAGCCTGGGTCTGTAACATACCCCGCTCAGTCTCGTATCCCAGGCCCTCAGTGTCACATCTTAAGTCTTAACATATTGGAAACTTGAAAAATGTTTGCAGCAGTGTTGTGAAGAGCGGGCACTTTGCAGCCAGATGCACTGCTAATGTTTGAGGAAGGAAGTGTCTCCGGGGGAAGAGAGCTTGAGCCGGGTGTGCAGGGCAGCAGGGGAGATGGGCTCATGGTCTAGTGGCGGCTTCGTTTCAGCATTAACACCAGGACATGGCCATGGTTTTGGGGTGAGTGCCAAGCCCTGGCCGTGGCCTGTGGGAGTCTGGTCCCCTCAGTCCCCTCTGTACTGCTCTGGTCCCCTCTGTACTGCTCTGGTCCCCTCTGTACTGCTCTGGAAGCCGCAGAGCAGCCTAAATACCTGCTGTGTTCTCCACTCCCACAGATGGTTCTGCCTCAGCCTTAGCATTTGCAGGTCGACTTTCTGTGCCTGTCGGAGGCTGCAGCTCCACAGCGTGGGGCCGCCTGGCTTGCTTTCTGTCCTCCCTGCCACTCTGACATGACTCATTTATCTAAATCAGCGAGGCTGATGGGTCCCCACTTTTGTTCTCTAGTTCCCAGCCCTAAATATTTCTCTGAAAATCTTACTTTTACTTAAAAAGAATCCTAATTTTCAAAAAAGGAAGAAGCCGGGCACGGTGGAACACATTGGGATTCCAGCATTCTGGGAGGCTGAGGCAGGAGGATCACAAGTTTGAGGCCACCCTAGAGAAATCAGCAAAGTAATAAGATCCTGTCCAAAAATAAAAAGGGCAGGGGATGCGGTTCATTGCAGAGGCTCGGGCTCAGCACTGCACAAACAAGCCAAGCAGAGCTCGGGGCTGCCGGGTATGCGGCAGTGCAGACAGGGAGGCGCATCTTTCCTCAAGGGCCTGCACCCTGCATGCCCAGCCCCGGGGAGGGGAGGAATTTCCAGAGAGGGGGGCACGGTGCCGAGTGGACAGAGTGGGCCCCATGGTCCCCCGGCCACCAGTGCCTTCTGTGTCAAGGCTTCAAGGCTGTGTTGTCGCAGACGCACATGGGCCCGCCCCTCCCGCAGGGCTTCCGGGCACTGTGGGCCAGCTCACAGGCCGAAGTGGGGGCGATGACACAAGCTGCAGCGTGGAGTCCTCAGCGACAGTGTGTGGCCTCCACACAGGACAGCAGCTTCCTCGGGTGGCACTTACCAACAGACGTTAAAATACTTCATTTTTCTTTTGTTTGGTCTTAGATTTGGAACTTGGCCACAAATCGCCTCACCTTCCTAAATTCTTTCAAAATGAAAATGTCTGTGATCTTAGGAATTATTCACATGACTTTTGGTGTCATTCTGGGAATATTTAACCACTTGTAAGTACACGTGTTTTTCAGAGCTACGTTCTGTACACAGCTGGGTGTATCTCAGAGTGGACTCTTGGTGGTGGGCTGTGTGGATGGGCGGGGTGTGCACTGTGTGCTCCTATTCGGGATTCATTTGTTCAGCCCGGATTTACTGAGCACCTTCTTCCGGCCTCCTGGAGCTTAGGCGCGGCAGGGAGGCACACACCATGGAAAGCCATAGTTATTTCCAGCAGTGAATTTTATTATACTCCTTTCTAATTTTATAAATTACAAAGCTGTGCCAGGCATGATGGGGCATGCCTGTAGTCCCAGCACTTGGGAGGCTAAGGCAGGAGGATCCCTACAAGGTTGAGGCCAGCCTGGGCTCCATAATGAGTTCAAAGCCAGCCTGGACTACACAGGGAGACCCTGCCTCAAAAAACCAGAGAAACAACAAGAAAAAAATAGGTTCTGTTTCCATTTTGTTGAGTGCTAGCATATTAGAATTTAGAGCTTGTACCCTTTTTCTAACCAGACTAATTCATGCTTAACTCTTAACAATATTTTGTATAGTTAATATAGTTTTAAGTTTTAATATAATTAGAATCTTGAAAAACTTCTATATGATTTAAGATACAACTTCCTGAAGCCAGAGTCATCAGTAACTTGTGGCACCCAATAAAATCACCAAGGAGTTGACTGGGTGTGGTGGCGCACGCCTGTAATCCCAGCACTCAGGAGGCTGAGACAGGAGGATTGCCATGAGTTCGAGGCCAGTCTGAGCTCCATAGTGAGTTCAAGACCAGCCTGAATGGCACAGCAAGACCCTGTCTGGAAAAAAAAAAAAAAAAGAAAAGGCACCAAAGGAGGAGCTTTGAGGAGGGCTTGGCCACACAGACCTTAGTCGTTTCTGCCGCCCTTGTCTCCGTGCCCTGTGGACTGAGCTGGCACACAGGCAGTGACCCTCACAGACATGTGCTGTGACCCCGAGGTGGCCCACGTGGCCTAGGCCCCAGGATTTCAAGTGACAGTGCCCTCACACCTCGCCCACGCTCATCCGAGGCTGGCTCTCCTCTCCCCAGGCACTTCCGAAAGAAGTTCAACATCTACCTGGTCTCTGTCCCCGAGCTCCTCTTCATGCTGTGCATCTTCGGGTACCTCGTCTTCATGATCATCTACAAGTGGCTGGCGTACTCGGCCTCCACCTCCCAGGTGGCACCTAGCATCCTCATCGATTTCATCAACATGTTCCTGTTCCCAGCTAGCGAGGCCAGCGGCCTCTACCCAGGCCAGGTGAGCCCGCCTCTCCTTCCTGTCAGCAGGCTGAGTTGGGCGCTCTGCACACCCCTCGCGCCGACGGGCCTGGCTGAAGTCGCTGCCCCCACAGCCCTCGACCCTGGAGGGAAGGACCTGTTCTGAGAAGGTTTCTGGGGCTGCCTGGTCCCCAGGTCTTGCCACCAAGGCCTCCTGGGAACCACTCGGCCTGTGTCACTGGGGCAGCACTCAGAGCTCACTGCCCTGCTGGACACAGCCAGCTCTGCTGCATCCTTGAGGTGCAGCTTTGCACTTCTCTGTGCCTCAGTTTCCTCATTTGCAAAGTGAAAAAAGGACCCTGCTTGTTGTAGAGAGCTGAGGGGTCTCGTGGGCGTGGCCATGCCGAGACTTGCTCTGTGTGCTCCTGGGATTCTCCCAGCGTGGCTTGCTCTCCGTCTTGTGGGCCTGCAAGGGTGTGCATGGGTCATTGTGCACCCGCCCTCTGCCTCCGGACTCGAAGCTCGCCTTGCGGACTTCAGGCTTTGTTTATGAGCAGATTTACAGTTCTTTTCTAAATTCCTTCCTTTTTTCCTTTTGGTACTGCAGATTGAACCACTGGGCTGCTACATCCCTAGACCTTTTTATTTGATTTTGAGACAGGGTCTCACTAATTTGCCCAGGCCAGGGCAAATTGATCTTGTGATCGTCCTGCCGCAGCCTCCCAAGTGGCATGTTTGCACAAATCTTTTTGAACTTTTTGGGTTTCTGTTTTTATTTCTGTTTCTCTTGTTCATGACTTTATAGAACTGTCACTGTTTGATTGAAAATTTGGCAGGGTGTGGGTACTGATGAGTACAGCTCAGGGGGGCTTGGGCACTGTGCTCAGAAAGGTCAGCGTGGGGACTGTCTTTGTCAGGCAGGCGTGCCGCAGCCTGCAAATGCCTGTCCCATGACTGTGCTTTCCTGGTCCCCGCGACAGCCCCACGAGGTAGGTGGTGGCCTCTGTTGTGCTGACGACAGCCTGTAGCCCAGGGAGATGGGTGATAGGAGCTGCCTGGGCCAGAATTTGAACCTGGGTCCTCCTGACCCTGCAGCCCAGGGCTTCCTGGGTGTTCTGCCTGTAGCTCTCATCGCTCCTGGCCTTTCAGGAGGTGTTGCGGGGGTAAGGGAAGCACAGCCTCACACTTGGGCAGCACTGGTGGCCCTGGGAGCCTGTTTTTAGCAAGCGGTGGCCGTATAGTGACGAGCACCGGGCAGCACACCGTTCGTTTTTACCCTAGAGCCGCACACACCGCATGGCTGTGGGTACGTGCGCTCTGCCCCAGCTGCACCCTTGGCCCTTCCTTGTGTTTTTTGGCACTGGGAATTGAACCCAGGGCCTGCAGTGAGCTTCAACCCAGCCCTTCTGCTGTTTTGTCTTGAGACAGGGCCTGCTGTGTCCAGGGCTGCCTGGGCCGGACTCAGACTGCCACCCTCCTGCTGTAGGTTTCTGTTTCCCATTTACAGGGTTTTCAGGAAATTATTAGCTCAAGTTCAGCTCCACGTAGAGCTCAGAGCTTTCCTAAATTCTCTTATTGGCCTAAAGCAAAGTAATACTTGGTCACTGCGTCACTTGTGTTTTCAGTCCTGGTATTGAGCCACGCGTTCAGAGTGCAGGGTCTGTTGGCTGGTGAGGCTGGTCAGGCTGGTCATACCCATCCTGGTCCACCCTGCCCAGTGGCCCTGTCCCGCCTCCGCCAACGTGACCCAAGTGTCCTAACGCCGTTGGTGGCGCAGCTCGGCATCCTTCCTGGTCTCCTGTGCCCCGGCAGGCGTCCATCCAGAGAGTGCTGCTGGCCATCACCGCGCTGGCTGTGCCCGTCCTCTTCTTGGGAAAGCCGCTCTTCCTGCTGTGGCTGCATCACGGGCGTGGGTGCTTCGGTGTGAGCCGGGTAAGTGTGACCTGGCTGCATGTTGTGAGGCGGATCTGCTTTTTTTGTTTTTGTTTTGTTTTTTTGAGATAGGGTCTCCCTACGTAGTCCAGACTGGCCTTGAACTTACTGTGTGGCCCAAGCTGGCCCTGCGCATGTGGTGATCCTCTTGCCTCAGCCTCCCGATGCTGGGATCACGGTGTGCACTGCTATGTCCAGCTATAGGCCTGCTTTTAGTTAAGTAAGGGTCAGTGTGCAAAGCACCATCTCCCTGGTGCTAGTGCAGAGCCAAAGCCTCTCTTGGTGGGGCCACTGATGTTGCCATTCTGGGACGGCTGGGGGAGGGGCCCCTGGATCCCGGGCGTGTGGCCCCCGCCCCGCTCTGGGGCAGAGGCTGTGAGGACAACACAGCCTTCTACGCAGCCTTCCCTAGATTCTCACCTCTTAATTTCTTTTGTAAAATGTTTCTTATTGTTTAAATAATATGAAAAATAGGAATTGTGGAAGATCTAGACAATAAAGTCTTTAAGTTCTGCCTTTTAGTTATAAGCAGGTCTCCTCTGTTGAATTTCCTTTCACACTCTTCTACGTGTCTGATTTCTTACTTCCAAAAACAATTTTGGTAAAATATATACATGATGTGGAATTTATCATTTGGATCGTAGCTCGATGGCATTAAGGACATTTGTTATGTAGTGTGACCACCACTACCACCCAGCTCTAGAACTGTTTTCATTTTGCAGATTTGAAGTTCTGTACTTAGAAATACTGACTTCCTGGTTCCCCTCTCCCAGCCTTGGCCTCATTCACTGGTCCGTCTCTGCTGAGCTTGGCTACTCTAGGGACCTTTTTTCTTTTTTCTTTTTTGGCTTTTTAAGACGGGGTCTCACTATATAGTCTAGGCGAGCCTTGAACTCACTGTGTAGTCCAGGCTGGCCTCAAACTCATGGTGATCCTTCAGCCTTGGCCTCCCAAGTGCTGGGATTACAGGTGTGTGCCACCATGCTTGGCTTTCTTTTAAAAAAGTACTTGAGACTGAACCCAGGGGCCTCTATAGCTGAGCCCCAGCCTTTTTTATTTACTTTAATTTGAGACAGGGTCTCTCTAACTTGCCCAGGCTGGCCTTAATCTTGCATTCATCCTGCCTCAGGCTCAGTCACTGAAATCATAGGTGTATGGCGTTGTACCTGCCAGTGTCATGCATTTGTCCTTCTGTGTCTGGTTTTTTTTACTTAGTGTAATATCCTTAAGCTTCATCCATGTTCTAGCGTATGTTAAAGTTCCCTTTTAAAGAGTGTTTAATATTCCATTAGATGGATATACTGCTTAGTTACTTTCTCATCACTGAGACAGAATACCCAACACCCACATGTTAAGGGAAGAAAGGTTTATTAGCTCACAGTTTGCAGAGGTTTCAGTCCATAGTCGGCTGCCTCCAAAGCAAAGGGCAGGCAGAGCAGAAACAGGCCATGGCAGGGCAGGCAGGAAGCAGCAGCATCGAGCCTTCCTTTCCCTTTTTATCCCATCCAGGCTCCAGGCCTAGTGGTTGGGGCCACCCACACCTGGAGTAGTGCTTCCCTCTCTAGTCAGTCCAGTCACACGCAGACCTGTGCTAAACCAGTCAGTGGACTAATGCAGTATCACATAGCCATGGTCCAGTATCACACACCGTGATGCACTGTCACATCCCCATGGCCCGGTGTCACGCCCCCATGGTCTGGTGGCTCCCCGAGGCCCCACACTGTCCCTCCTTTTGGCCGTTGTGAATGATGCTGCTATGAATATGGCTGCATAAATAGCTCTTGGAGTGTCTACCTTCACTTCTTCTGGGGATACACCGTAAGTGCAGGTTCTGGGTCACACGGTCATGCCATGTGTCACTTTCAGGCACTGCCACACTCTTTTTACAGTGCTGCACCGTCCTCCCCTCCCACGAGGGCTGTACTTGGCACACCCTCGCCTACAGCTGTCTCTGTCCTCTCCTCTCCCCACCCCATAATAGCCAGCTTAAGGGTAGAAGGTGTTTTCATCTTTTAGAGAACTTTTTTCTTGTCAAGGAGCTGAATCATTGAGCAACTGCACGTGGGTTCTGTCGCCTGTGAGGGCCTTGACCCCATGCTCTCTCGTTCATTAGAGTGGCTACACGCTTGTGAGGAGAGACAGCGAGGAAGAAGTGTCTTTGCTGGGAAACCAGGACATAGAAGAGGGAGGTAACCAGGTGGAGGCCGGACGCAGAGAAATGACGTGTGAAGAGGTAATCCTTTCATTTGCTGCTAAGCTTGGATAAGTGGCGAGGCGTTTGTAGAGATAATCATGACAGCAATGCCAGTTACTAATACTCTAAGAGAACGGCAGGCTTATGCAGGGCTTGCCGGCACTATCTGGGTCACACAGCTGGTGTCTACCACACACGTCTGCTTATTGCATGTTCTGTTGTTTCCCGTTTCACTGGGATTTAGAGTGTCACCACAGCAGCTTGCGGTGGAAGTGACTTCGGTGGGAAGGACATTGCTTTCAGAAGATTCCTGTAGCAGACAGAGCTTTTTCATAGTCGCAGGAACGAAACTCCCAGGTCACACTGGTTTCAAAGGGAGTCCTCCTCAGCTGGAACAGAGTAGAGCTGGTTTCAGGCATGGCTTTTGTCTGAGTTGACCAAATCTCCAGTTCCAAGAGGCTGTGCTTGTGTTTGCTTTCTGTTCCCACGCTGGTTGGCCCCGTGATGCTGGGGACACAGGCGGCCCTGGGCTCCCCTTCTTCAGTCTTCAGCCAGAGGGGAAAGCGTCTCACTGCACATTGCTCTCAGAGGGACCCAAGGGAGAGGCCCGATGGACCTGGCAGGGTCACGTGGTCATCACTGGCCGGTGGCTGTCATCTTAACGTGGTGGGGCTGTCATAACAGAACATCACGCACCAAAGGCTTAGGTCCAGTGTGGGTCACAGTTCTGGAGACCAGCTCAGGACCTGGCAGGTTTGGGTTCCCCGGAGGCCTTCCCTGGCATGTGCAAGTCCTTGGGTAGGTGCCTCTCCCTAAGGTCACCAGTGAGTGCTGTGGGGTCAGGGCCCCACCCTGTGACCCCTCTTTTTTTTTTTTGGTACTGGAAATCAAACTCAGGACCTTGCACTTGCCAGGCAGGCGTTTGTGCCACTGGGCTATATCCCCAGCTCCTGTGACCCCTCTTTAAAAGACCTGTCCCTACATATAGTCACTTTGGGGGTAGGGGTTTAGCATAGGTATTTGGGGAGGACACACAAGTCAGTCCACAGCAACTCTGAGTGGTTAGGAGAACAAATGGTGCCCCCAGGATGATCACTGTAGTCCTGGACAGATAGGATAGAGTGTGTGCACCCCCCTGACCTGCCTTATTTTCTTGGAAACTAGCTGCTTAATACAGAGCAAACAAGGCCTGGGGATCTAACTCAACAGCACAGCTCCTGCTTAGCAAGCACGAGGTCCTGAGTTCAATTCCCGGTACCAAAAAAGAAAAAGAAAGAGCAAACAAAATTCCTAATCATTTTGTTATGTGTAATTTAGTGTTTTGATTTGGTTTGTTTGTCTGTTTTTGTCTTTTTGAGACAGGGTTTCCCTGTGCAGTTCAGGCTGGCCTTGAGCTCACTATGTAGCCCAGGCTGGTCTCGAACTCGCAATGATCCTCCTGCCTCAGCCTTCCGAGTGCTGGGATTACAGGTGTGCGCCACCACGCCTGGCTAGTGTTTTGATTTGGGATGGTTAATAATTAATCTCAGGATGATGGAACAATGAAAAGCAAAGCTGGCAGAAGGCTTAGAGGCTTCTCGTCCAGGCTTTTTTGTCCCAGGGACCCTGTCTTGGTCACTTTCCCATCACGGGGATCTAGTACTCGCACCTGTGACTCCAAGGAGGAGAGTTGCTGGGCGTACAGTTTCAGGTGGGTTCAGTCCATGGACAGCTTGCTCTGCGGTTGAAATGCTTGGTGGAGGGAGCTGGTGGAGGATAGCTGCTTGTTACCTTCTGGCAGCCGGGAAGCAGAGAGAAGGGAGCCCGGGACAAGAACGCACTCTCCAGGTCATACCCCAGTGGCCTTCTCCAGCGGGGCGCTAGCTCCCAACAGCACATTCAGCCGTGCACTCGTCCATGAGTGAATCTGCTGATGAGTACCATGCCCCTGTGCCCGTGACCCCATCACTTTCCAAATATGGAGACATTCGGGGGACATGTTAGAGCCAAACCCTAACAGACCCTTTCCGCTTTGCCTCCTGGCCTCAGCTGGCTCTTTCCTGTGAAGCAGCGCAGCAGCTGTCCTCTCCTCAGACGTGTGGTGCCTTCTCAGGCTGGCGTGGGATCTCACTGAGCTCCCTAGGGGGTGGCCGCTGCGGCTGTCACAGTCCTCTAGTTGGGTGCGCTCAGTTCACGTTATGGAAACTGAGGCTGGGGGCGCCAAACCTGTGGCCATGGAGCTGGCCAGCCTCACTGTCCCTGCCCCACCACATGCCAGAAGCCAACCCTGCCCTGTGTGCCCCAGGGCACAGGCTTTAGGCAGTAGCAGTGTGGACGCAGCGTGTCTAACACGGATGTGGTTTTTCTCCCAGTTCAATTTCGGAGAAATCCTGATGACGCAGGCCATCCACTCCATCGAGTACTGCCTGGGCTGCATCTCCAACACTGCATCCTACCTGCGGCTCTGGGCGCTCAGTCTGGCCCACGCGCGTAAGTCGCCTACGGGGAGCTCACACTTCTGTGGGAAACACAGCTCCGACCTTGCGTGTGCAGACTAGTGCTGAGTAACCTACCCCAGCAGCACAGTTCCGCGCCAGCTGCCAGAGCTCGCTGAACAGAAGCAGCGTGTGAAGTACGTGCTCTGTGGCGGGCACTCCAGTCTGTGCAGCACAGAAGTAGCACACCACGCGCGGGCTCAGGGCCAGTCCCTTGGCTTCCTCCCAGCCCCCGGTGACCGGGCGCCCCGCACTGACAGAGAGCTCAGGCTCGGCGCCGGTAAACCCTCGGCACAGTTCGCAGGCATGGGCAGTCCTGCAGGGCCATCGGCCAGCCAAGAGGAGATGGGGAGTGCTAGTCTTTCTTAAAAAAATAAAACACTTTAATACTCCATGCTGCGGGGGCTGGGGATTTAGCTCAGCGGCAAAGTGCCTGCCTGGCAAGCACAAGGTCGTGAGTTCGGTTCCCGGTACCAGAGAAAAAACAAAAAAAAAAAAACAAAAAACAACAAAAAAAGAAATACTCCATGCTGCTAATCTGTTAAGAATAGGTTTATATGTTTTCGTTTCCTTGCACAGTGTGACTGACAGGAAGTGGGGGTTCATGTCTCGACAGAAAGTAACCCCTCTGGCCGTTGCCTTTCAGAGCTGTCTCATGTGCTGTGGGCCATGCTGATGCGCTTGGGGCTCCGCGCGGACACCACCTTTGGGGTCCTGCTGCTCTTCCTGGTGGTCGCCTTCTTCGCAGTTTTCACCATCTTCATCCTGCTGGTCATGGAAGGGCTTTCCGCCTTCCTCCACGCCATCCGCCTCCACTGGTGAGCATGTAGTGAGGCCTCAGAACAGGAGAAAACAGAACCCTCCCAGACATACACACCGCACCGCGCTGCTGCTGCACACAGACTAGTTTTTCGTGTCTGTGTCTTACTCACTTTCTTGTCACTGGGACAGAATTCCTGACACCCACCGCTCAGTGGAGGAGAGGTTTTCTCTGGCTCACAGCTTCAGAAGGCTCAGTCCTTGGTCGGCTGCTCTGATCTAGAAGCAGCGTGGGGGGAGGAGAGCTGCTCCCCTAATGGCAGCCAGGAAGCAGAGAGCGCAGGGAGGAGCGGGGAGGGAGGTGCACCCTTCTGGCCAGACCCCACCTTCCAACAGCATGCCAGCTCCAGCATCCCGTCACTTCATCGCCTTCTAAAAGCCTCTGAAACATGCGCCACTTAGGAGAAATTGTAGACTAGCCCATACTATTTTGGCATCTGTATTCAGATCCTCTGATTAAATTGTAATTTGTACTGACAAGTAAAAGCAAGCTCATGCTTGTACAATAACGTTTTGTGCTATTTTTAAAAAAATATTTTTTTGAGACAGGGTCTTATTGCATAGTTCAGGCTGGCCTTGAATTCATTTTATGTAGCCCAGGCTGGCCTCAAATTCATGGTGATCCTCCTGCTTCAGCCTCCCGTGAGCTGGGATATCAGGTTTGCACCACCCCGCCCGTCTGTCTCATGCCTTTTGTGTGTGTGTGTGCTGCTGGTTACAGTAGAGGTTTGTTTGAGCTCACGATCTGTAGGTTTCAGCCCAAGGTTGGCTGGCTTGCAGGCAGAGGCCATGGCAGTGAGGGCTACTGGAGGAGAAGCTGCTTACAAGAAACAGAGGGCAGGGAGGAGCGGGGAGGGAGGTGACCAGAGCCCCTCCAGTGGCCTTGCGGAAGCCCTGCCCATGAGTGCATGGGGCTGGCCGGGGACAGGCAGCTAGATAGAGACTGTATCGGCTTCTTGTGTGCTCCTCAGCGTCACAGTACCTACATCCAGCTACTCCTGTGTGCCCAGTGACCACAGCGGGCAGAGGGCTCGCTGTGCTGCGCCCTGCAGGGTGTGGCAGTGTAGAGGTGGCGTCCTCTGGCCTTTGTCACCCAGCAGGAAAGCACCTGGCTTGGGTGGGGGCACTTATCTAAGTAACAGTGTTAGCCAGGCATGGTGGCGCATGCCTGTAATCCCAGCACTCGGGAGGCTGAGGCAGGAGGATCATTGCGAGTTCGAGGCCAGCCTGGGCTACAAAGTGAGCTCAAGGCCAGCCTGAACTGCATACGGAGACCCTGTCTCAAAAAGACAAAAAAAACAAAACAAACAAACGAAAAAACCATCCAAGTAACAGTGTTGTGCCAAGAGAGTATAGCAGTGGAGCCATGCAAACAGAACTGGTGTTTTTAAATTCGTAAATGTTGTCTGCAGTAACCTAGGGATGTTATTTTTTTCTAATCTTCCACTAATATGCAGTGTGTATTTTGTACTTTTTTTTGTAGGGTAGAATTTCAGAACAAATTCTACGTTGGTGCAGGCACCAAGTTTGTTCCTTTCTCGTTCAGTCTACTTTTGTCCAAGTTCAGTACCGACGACCATGTGGTGTGACTATCATCCTGCCATCACCAGCAGTCTTTCAGATTTATGGAGAGTCATCATACCAGGAATTGCACCTACGTCAAGTTTATGATAGGAAACATTCTGTCTCCGTTGATTGCCTTACAGTGTAGCCAAATGATTCTGTAAGATATACCTCTTCCTCATGTTAAAGATTTTGTAAACTTTGCCAGTTTCAGACACATAAGTTTCTTTTGCTTTTTATTATGAACACAGGATAGGTTCATGCCAAATGTCATGTTAAAGTTATTTTTAAAAATACAGGATTGGAGAAGCCAGTTTTGAATGGCTAATTGAAAATGGTCTTAGATACTTGATTCCTCTTAAACCTCATTAAAAAATGCAAAGAATTATTCTGTCACCTGAAGTTGTCAGATAATATTTCCCAACAGCTGAAGTTAAAGCAGAGTTTGTTGTTTTTTAGTTGAGGGATGAATGCTCAAAAGATTCATTTATTCTGCTTGACTAAAATATGCAAACAGTTTTTATTATATGCTATCTAGAATTACAAGTAGGGAATTAACCTCTACAGTTTTGTCTTGTTTTAATAATTGGAGAAAGTGGGATAAAATACCATTCAGTAAATGGTTTTCCCACTTGTATATTTTTAAAAGCCTATTATCTTTACATAAAACCAATTATGACAGTTGTACATCTGTAAAGATAAGCTGTATACTGAGCCTTAACTCTGGGTGTGACTACAGAAGATAACATGTAGATAGGATTTGAACTTAGGCACCACCTCGGCTGTATTATTGAAGCAGAGTGGTTCATATGTTGTTTTTTTTTTCCTGTTTGTTTGTTGTCTTTTTTGAGACAGGGTCTCGTTATGCAGTTCAGGCTGGCCTTGAGCTCACTTTGTAGCCCATGCTGGCCTGGAACTTGCAACGACCCTCCTGCCTCAGCCTCCTGAGTGCTGGGATTACAGGTGTATGCCACCACGCCTGGCTTCAGAATGGTTTATATGGAAAAACAAAAAGTAGTGTCTGCATATTTTTATAGCAAAATATGAATTAAGATATTTTACCATGAAGAGATTGCACCTATCCTTGAGAGCAGTATAATTTTTTACTTTTACACAGATTCTAAATAAAGGTCTGATAAAGGTAGTTAGGGTTCATTTAAACCTTCAAATACTGTTTAGATCAACTGAAAATGAATTCTTACAAAGCCATTAATATTTATAAAGCTGAACTTAAATTTACCGTTTGCTTGACTTTTGGTGTTGCCTGAATTTGAGCCCGTCCTGTGGAGCGTTGGGATCCAGTCCGTCGTCTTGTAAATTATGGCAGTGCTTCTCATTTTAATCAGTTTTAGATTGTTTTCAAAATGAAATCTGCTGTGTTCTCACGCAGCAGTGACACATCAGGGGCCTGTCCGTCACCCGCTCAGGTCACGAGTGTGGCCCCTTTTCACAAGCTGAGACCCGGGGTGCACCGCATCCGAGCAGCTCTCTCAGGTGACTTCTTTGTCCTGTTGCTGAGGGACAGGAGCTGAGCCGCATGTGACATGCCGTGACTGAACTGAGACCCCTCTGGTCAGAGCAGAGGCTCCGCTCTCTGAGTGCCGCGTTCCTCCTTCCTGTGTAGCTGCCAAGCAGAAAGCGATGCTGGGAACTCCTGCAAGCCACCCTGCACCAGAAGCTCCATTTCCCCAGAAGCGCGGCACCGGCGGGTGTGAGCTCTGTGTAGCATCCGCCTTGCTTCTCACCTGCAGCTCTCTGCCCACAGTTGTCGCCCTCACTAATGCAGGAATCTGTGGCAGTGACAGTGGCCACTAATGTGTCCCTAGGAAGCCACGACTTCGTGGCACTGTTCCAGGATTAGTAATCAGGGACAGACGTCCGGCTGGGCGCCCGCTGCTCCCTCTGGGAACTGCCAAGGAGGCCACGTTTGAATTCTAATTTAAACCTATGGTCGGTATAGAATGCAGAGCGAAGGCTCACTTTGTTTTTGTCTGAGACAGGGTCTCACTCTGTAGCCCAGGCTGGCCTTGAGCTCACGGCGATCATCCAGCCTCAGCAGCCCCAGCGCTGGGTCCAGGCGTGCACCACCACGCCCAGCTTCACTTTTCAATTTTTTTTGGTGGGGGTTACAGACAGTTGAACTCAGGTCCTTGCGCTTGCCAGGCAGGTGCTGCGCTGCTGAGCGACATCTCAGCCCTTCACTTTGTGATTTAAATATACAGCAGTTACACAGAATGTAATTATATAAAAAATTAACCCAAACTTGGGAAAAGACTGTGGGAATACTTCCTCAGGGCACTTTCTAGACACCAGGGGAAGGTTCACTTTGCAGAGCGGTGGCCGTGAGCCACGTTCCCAGAGTGGCCGCTTGGCTGGGTTCCTTAAGCTGCTGTTGGGCTCTGCGATGCACAGCACTTGTAGGCTGCCTTGAGAGCCACTTTCAGAGGAGAGATGGGCGGTGGTCTGGACGGGGTCGAAGGTCAGGGCCAGGGCGGCCACATGTGTCAGATATGCTTGCTGCCACATGGTGTGGAGCCCTAAAACAAAAGCCTGAACTTGTCCCTCAGTGGAACAGAGCCTGATTCCGGCCTGCACAGGGCAGAGTAGTGTTGTCACTTGAGCAGAACCAGGGCTTAGAGCTGCTTTGACATCCGCTCTGGAGAGGACCTTGGGACTGGCTCGCCACTGGCAGAATGAGCCCCGCCCTCATTTCTGGACGGCTTTGCTTTTGAGGCAGGATCTCACTAAGTTGCCCAGAGTGACCTCAACATGCAATCCTCCTGCCTCAGCCTCCTGAGCAGCTGGGATGACAGGTGTACACCACCTCGCCTGGCTAGGAGTGAATTAAGTATTCAGACCTGGAGCGCTGCATTGAAGACAATACCATACCTTTGTCTATTAAAGTTCAAGGCAGGCGTGCTTGCCTGCACCTGGCGCACCTCCAAATAGGGGATTTTAAGTCCTAATCCAAGAGGGTGGAGATAAGGGGTTGGCGAGAGCTTTCCCGTGGGGCCACCGACGCTGTGCTCTCGCTCAGGATTTTAGGAAATACTCAGAACACGGGGCTCTGTTAGGAGAGGGCTGGGCCCATCGCTGCGAGGCAACAGCGGCGAGTTAGTATTTCGCTCCACAGTGCATGGGAGACAAATCTGCATCTTCCTATCGGTATTGGACTCCTTTTGCTAATGACAAATAAATACACCTATATTTTTAAGACGTGTGTGCTTTGCTTTCTTGTGTCCTGGTCCAGGTAGAAAGCCAAAGATCCCCGCCCTTCGTCCCTAGTCCGGCCGCCCGGCCTGCCCTCGTGGCGGGGGCTGAGGCTTTGTCCTTCGCCTTTCCTCCGCCGGGCCCTTTCTGGTCTGGCGCCGCCCTTTGAGGCCCCTGCTTACCTGCAAGGTGGACCTGCGACCGCAGATGGCGGCTCGCGAGGGTCACAACGCACGTCAAGGTTGAGCCAAGTGCGGCCACGAGCCCGCGCCGGCTGGTGCTTCCGGGTGCGAGTCACCCGCGGGCCGTTGTCCGGACGCCCGTTGCTGGGGCCGCCGTTGCCAAGGACGCCCGCGGGCCCTGCGCCGCCAGCCCTGCGCTCTGCTCGGCTCTGTGCGGCGCCATGGACGACCTGCGGGTGCTGTGGATGCGCGACCGCGTGTACGCCGCCTTCGACCTCTCCGACCCCCAGCTCTTCGAGGAGCTGCTGACCCGCGACGAGGGCGAGGCGGAGGACCTCATCCTGCACTTTCTCAACCTCAGGAGCGACGAGGAGGGCGCCTCCGCGCTCTTCTTCTACCGCACCTGGGTGCCCGAGGAGGTGGAGGTGGAGATCGGTGAGCCGCCGCTCTGCCCTGCCCGGCCCCGCCCGCCCTCCGCGCCCGCCCGGACAGCCCGCTGCGGGTGCAGTCCCGAAACACCGGTGTCAGTTGACAATCCTAGCACTCGGGAGGCTGAGGCAGGAGGATCACAATTTCGAGCCAAGCCTAGGCAGCTTAGATCTTGTCTCAAAATAAAAAGAATTCAAAAAGGGCTGAGGATGTAGCTCAGTGCGAAGGCCCTGGGTTCAGTCCTCAGGAAAACAAAAGAAAATAAAATCAAGCCTGCTGTCGCCCTCCATGTGCGGTCGCTGCCGCTGTTGCCCTCCTCGGTGCACAGCCGGCTTGGAAAGCCAGCGCCTGGGCTGGAGCAGCGCAGCGAGCTCTTGTTTAGCGCCTGCGGCAAGCAGTTACCGTGCAAGTGGCCCCATCAGCTCATCCACCTCGCCGATGGGTTACTCTCATCCCTGCCGCGGCTTTAGAGAAGCCCGGGGGAGAGGACAGAGCGCCCCTTCCGAGGCCACAGAGGCCTCGGAGTCCCAGCGGCCGCTCAGCAGCCACGCGGAGGCCAACCGGGAGGGACCCAGGCGGCCCGCTGTCCCTGTCCGCGCAGTGCCAGGGTCCCTGTCCATTTCCCCGCCGGCCCCACTGAAAAGGGAAGCAGGCCCCCACGCAAGGCTTTCCAAGGTGACCAGGATTTATGTTGCATATATTTGTATTTTAAATACAGAAATGGCAGGGATGAGGTGCCCAGCACCAGGTCCTGTGAGTCTCTGATTGGCCAGGGACACAGAGGGGGTGGGCCGGGCCAGGGTCCGATGAGGGATCATGGGTAGCAGTTGTCATGGGTTTAGGTGACTGCACTGGTGCCATCTTGAGCTCCACAGGGTGGGGCTGCAGTGCCAGGCAGATCTTCCCCCCTGCTGTGCCAGTGATGGAACCCAGGCCCTTTGCACTGACTATATCCCACTCCTTAAAAAAATTTGGAACACAGTGGAGTACTACGCGGCCATAAAGAAAGAGGAACTTGAGGTACCTGTAGGCAAATGGATGCAACTTGACAACATAATGTCAATGAAACAAGCCAGACACACAAGCTTGTGTATTGTGCGGTATCTGTTATGAGAAACACAGTATTTACAGATATAAGTAAAGCGCAAAATAGAAGACAGAGAAACAGGAAGTAGAGAGATGTTCAGATAATTCCCCCAAATTCCCTGTCCCATTGTTTCAAAAATATTTCAATTTATATGCTAATTTGTTTCACTTATACCACTGGTCTCTCTTCCTCCATTGATTTTATTTTATGTTACTGGGAATCACACTCAGGACCTTGTACTTGCCAGGCAGGTGCTTATGCTGCTGAGCTACCTCCCCGGCCCTCTTTTCCTTCACTGAAAAAGTTCTGTGCTTCTTTTTTTTTCTTTTTTCTTTTTCTTTTTCTTTTTTTCCAGTACTGGGAATCAAACTCATGACCTTGCGCTTGCCAGGCAAGCACTGTGCCGCTGGGCTAAATCCCCAGCCCCTCTGCTTCTTTTTTGTAAGAGAAAACCTTTTTTTGTCCATGACTTGTGCTCTGAGTCACATCCTGGCCATTCTTTTAAGATTATGGTACACAGTGTACTAACTCTTGCTATCCTCTTAACGGTTTTGTATGACATTTTGTTTTATTTTTTTCACTGGAAGTAAGAAGAGTGCTTTTCTTTATGAATATCTACATGTATTAAGGTCAAATTAAAAAAGCCGTCTTGGATGTTCAAACACAAAAAATTCTTTTGAGACAGAGTCTCACTAAGTTGCTAAGTTGCCCAAGCTGGGCTTGAACTTTTCGACCCTCCTGCCTCAGCCTCCCAGAGTGCTGGGGTTACAGGTGTGTGCCACCAGCATCCTTCACTTATCAAAGCTGTGGTGACTTCTCCACAGTCTGCATCGTCACCCTATGAAGTGTACGTTGCCGGGCTGCTGAGTCCACCCACCACGCTGTGCGCCCCGGGCCTCTTTCAGGCCTGTTGGTCATTTCTGTTCTGGGCCGATGATATCTCTGACCCTTCTCATGTCCTTTGTCCCTTGTCAGACTCGATGCAAACCTTCACGGTGTCACCGAGCTGGCTCTGGTGACCGGAACATGCGCGAGTCCCCTGTGGCCACACCCCAGCCCCTGGCTCCGGGAGAGCAGGAGTTAGCTACCTGGTGCGCGCAGACTTAACAAGGTGTGTTTCTCTCCGTGTGCTCACCGTGAAGACAGCGAGCTGTCTGTCCAGTCCGGAGAAGAGAACGAGGAGGAAGAGCCTGCTGACCAGAAGGCCGAGGCCCTGGGTGAGCGCTGGGGTGGGCGGGGCGGGTCTCGGAGAGGGGTCGGGGACCCTGAATCCGTTTGCCCTAGAGACAGCAGTGCCGTGCGCCCATACATGCGGCAGCGCCCCTGGGCGGCTGCCACCACGGGCTGGGTGCTACCAGCAACGCAACTCATCCTGTCACTTTTCCGGAGCCTCCAGTTCAAAGCGAGGAGCCCCGAGGCGGGGTGCCCGTCCTTGCCCCGATGGCTTCCGGTGGCCAATGACAGCCCTTGGGATTGCTCAGCTTGTGGACCTGCCGTTCTGCCCCTGCCTCTGTCATAGGGTGGCCCCCTGCCGGTTCCAGGCGTTGGGGTCAGACCCCCGTTATCTGCGGGGTGTTCATCTCACTCCACTCGTTCTGTCCGCAAGACTGTCTCTCCAATTAGGTCACACGCTGGGGATGGGGGACGCTGTTCAACCCAGGGCGGCACTGAACATAAAAGGACCGTGCCCCTGGGGCAGGGCGAGGTGTCCCTTTGTGTGAATGGCACCTGCCATCTCCTTCAGGGACACTGAAGCCAAGGGGCGCTGGGGGGGACGCAGTGGCACGTCCCCGCTCGGCAGGGGCAGTGAGAGCCGCGTGAGTGTGCTGTCGCGCCCGTGGCCCTTGGTGGGCGTGGGGTGTGTGTGAGCCAGTTCCCTGCAGAGGTGGTTTTTGCTGGGTGATTTTGCTGCTGGGGGCTCCACCCGGGGCCTGCACACCTGTTCTGGGCGCGGGTGTTCCTGGCCCCGGCCAGACACCCCACGGTGCACAGGACAGCCCCACACCACGGCCACCGCCCCTCATGTCACTCCTGCCATGGCGAAGGGCCTGGTGTGGCCCACCTGCTCTGTCAGCACAGCAAGACAGTGTCCCCGCCCCGCTGCGATTTTGTAGCCCCAGGGGCGCCCCCACCGCCTCGCTCAGCCCGGGAAGCTGGAAGGGGAGAGGATCCTGGCAATACGTGGCATCTCCTTTAGTCGGCTTGATTTTTTCAGAGGAATTGAGTTTTAACACAAGTGTCACCCCCTCAAGTAAGTCTCAAAGACTGGAAAGAGGAGAACGCAAATTTCGAAATAAAAGACTTTTTTTTTTCCTTTTCTTGCACCCTTGGGGATTGAACCCAGAGCCTTCCCCCTGAGCTACACCCCCAGCCCTTTTATTTTTTATTTGGAGAGAGAGCCTTGCTAAATTTCCCAAGCTGGGCTCAAACTTCCAGTCCTGCGGCCCCAGCCTCCCACAGTGTGGAGATTACCGTTGTGCCACGCCCAGCTCCAAGGCTGGTTTTGATTGTGGGCATTAGCAGCGCCCTCATGAGGCGTGGCGTTGCCGTCTAGTGGTGGTTCCCTCTGACTGCCCGCGTGCCTGGTCCCCACCGTGCACCCCAGGTGCTCTGCAAGCTGGCTGCCGCTGACCACCGGTGGTCACCGTCCCGTTGTCCGGGTGAGGAAATCGACAGCGCGAAGGATTGAGCTGACTGCGGAGCCACGGGGGCGTGTGTGCCGCCCTGGGGCGGTCTCTGGGCCCAGACTCTGTCCTGCAGGTCCCCGTGTCAGCGACGCTGTGTGTGTCACATCTCCCACGAGTTTCAAGGATCATTATGGTGGCACATGGAGTGGAACCCTGCCTTAGTGACAAACCTCTGTTTGAGTGAAGACCCCAGGGAAATCACACATTAGACACTGCCACAGACGCGGGTACACACCTGCCTTGATCCTTTCCCATTGCTGAGAGTATAGTTTTTCTTTTTTTCCTTTTTAAAATTTTTTTTATTTTTTATTTTTCCACTACTGGGAATTGAACTCACGACCTTGCGCTTGCCAGGCAGATGCTGTGCCGCTGAGCTAAATTCCCAGCCCCAAATGCTAGATCAAAGTCTTTTTTTTTTTTGGTCTTTTTGAGACAGGCTGTCGCTATGCAGCTCAGGCTGACCTCGAGCTCACTGTGTAGCCCAGGCTGGTCTCGGACTCGCAACGATCCTCCTGCCTCAGCCTCCCGAGTGCTGGGATTACAGGCCTGCGCCACCACACCCGGCTTCCCATCGCTGAGAGTAATACCTGACACCCACAAAGTAAAGGAGGAGAGGTTCACTTATTTAGGCTCATGTTTCAGCCAGAGAGTTGCTGGCTCTCAGGCAGAAAGAGCGGGGCAGAGGGGTCTGGCGGAGGAGAGCGGCTCCCCGCATGGGTCACAGGAGGCGAAGGGAGTGGGAGGAGCCGAGAGGAGATGGCCCCGCCCAGGGCCCGCCCCCACAGGCCCCACCCCCCCAGGCCCCACCCGATGACTCCACTGATGGATCCAGCACCTTCCACATACCTGAGAATTTTGGGGACATTCTCGGTGGAAACCAAAAATGTCCGCTGGATGAAGTGCACTGTTGTGTAAAACCCAGGCCAGCCTCCCGGTGGGAGACCTGATGGCCGGACAATTTCACCTCACTCATGGGATCCTGTTTTGCAGCTAGGAATTTGCAGCTGAGAAGTGATTCCACGGCACCTCCAGCTCTCGGCGCGGAAGATGGGAACCTGGACGGAGAGGCCTTAGCCAGCCCCCCGACCCGCGTACGCGCCCTGTGCTCCTGGGGGGCTGGCCGGGCTCTGCTGCCCCGGGAGGGTCTGCCTTGGGGAGCGCGTCGCGCGGGGTGGCGTGCTGGGGTGGCAACCTTAGATTCGAGGACTGGCAGAAGGACTCGCAGGGCCCTGGAGCGCTGCTGCGCTCGGCTTATTGCAGAAAACGCGCGTGGCTTAGAGTCAGCAGGGTGACAGGCGCAGGGCGGAGCCCCGGAGGGACCAGGCCGGGCTGGCCAGCGTCCTGTCTGGATGGAGTCTATGGACCGTGCTTAGCTCGCGAAGCCCCTGGGTATGACACCCCACACGGCGTCCTGCCAACCAGGGGCTCACCTGGCGACCAGGACTCTTGCCGAGGGTCAGCTGACTGCACAGAGCAGCCATGTGGCCGGCCTTGGTCACTCAGCCCAAGTCCCCAGTCCTCCCCAGAGGTCTCCCTGATAGGGTGGAAGTGTGGCCCAGGGGCCCAGGGAGACTTACGAGTCATGTCATTGGCCTGAACAGGTGTAGCCTGAAGCCCCAAGGCCACCCGGAGAGCCTGGCAGAGCTCCGTGTACATCTGGCCCCCTCCATCCAGTCTCTGTGGCATTTGTTTTTTGTTGTGTTTATTTTATTTTATTTTTTGCGGTACTGGGGATTGAACTAGGAGCCTTTTCACTGAGCTACATCCCCAGCCCACTTTTCTTTCTTATTTTGAGACAAGGTCTTGCTAAGTCACTAAGTTGTCCAGGCTGGGCTGGAACTTGAGATCCGCCTGCCTCAGCCTCCCAGGGTGTTCGATTCTTTCCACGAGCAGGTGAACTCAAGCCTGGCCGTGTTTGCCTCCATTTCAGAGGCTGGTGAAGCGAGTCGTGGACAAGCTGTACCTCCAGGTGGTCTGTACCCCAGTTCCTGAGGCGTTTCTGGGCCGGAATGTGGTGTTTTTCCTCAGGAACACAGCAGGTGCGTTCCTGGGCGTGTGCCGGGGCGATGCTCGCGTCGTGCGCACCCTAGTTTGCCAGGGTCCCTTCCCCAGCGTGGTCCTGGGAGCATAATGCTGTGGTACAGCGCCCCCTACTGCTCATGGGTCCGTGCTGCGACGCCGCCTGCTTGCTGGAGCATGTCCGGCACCCCAGAGGGACACTCACAGTGTCCCTGATGGCCACAGGGGCGAGGAGGGAGCCTGGTGGCCCGACACACGTGTCCCCGTGGGGCTTGGGCACAGTGGGCCTGGCCTCCTGCGGCGACTGGCTGTAAGCGCGTCCTTTCTGCGGCCTGCTTCATGCCTCCGCCCGCGGCTTCCTGCTTTCGGCGGAGGCTGTGACTAGGATGCCGCCCCGTACCCCGCACGGGGGTCACCGTGTACGGGGAGAGAGCGGGTCCGGAGCCGGGGTCACTGGCGTGCACTCCGCGGGCGTCCTTCCCTGCAGACCTGGGCCGCGTGGGGGAGGCAGGGGCACAGCGGGTGGGAAGGCGGCTCGGGGTGTGCTCAGGCGCGGCAGCTTCACGCGGTCTTGGCACACATCCTGCTGTCTTTCTCCTTTGTTTTTTTTTGGGAAAGGGGGGAACTGGGGATCGAACCTGGGGCCTTCACACTGGGCCCCATCCCAGCCCTTTTCTTTATTTTGAGATAGGGCCTTGCTAGGTCACTGAGTTGCCCAGGCTGAGTTCAAACTTTCGATCCTCCCGCCTCAGCCTCCCAGAGCGCTGGAGTGACAGGGGCCCACTGCCAGGCCTGGCTTTCTCCGGACCTGGTTTTTGAACATGGATGGCGGGGTGTTCCAGGATTCACTTGTCTGGGGGGTGGGAACAGTGGGGAGGAAAGCGGCAGCCCAGCCGGTGCCGCCCTTCCACCTCCTCCCTTGAGCCTGCCGCCCCTCGAAGGTCGCTCCTGAGACCTCTGCTCACCCCGAGGCGCTACAGGGCCTGGCTGGCAATGGTGGCGTCCAGTCTGCCGTCAGTATCAGTCTTTGTTGTCACTCTTCCCTTTTTATGAAGCATTATTATTTTTGATATTTTGATAAAAAATCGTTACTATTTTTCTTATTTTAAAGATCTTATTGGGCTTTATTTTCAACTCGAGAATTGGCTAACACTTCTTTTTCTGTTAGTGCTGGGGACTGAACCCAGGGAGTGCTGAACTGCATCCTCACAGCTTTTTAATTTTTTTGAGACAAGTTGTCCAGGCTGTCCTTGAACTCGAAACCCTCCTGCCTCAGCCTTCTGAGTAGCTGGGATTACAGGTGTGCGCCACCACACCCAGCCACATCTAACTTCACTTGGTAGCATAGAAACAGTGTTTCCTGTGCTTGCTTTCTTTCTTTCTCATGCTGGATTCCTGCGCGGCTTCTTTTTAAGATGACTGTACCTGAGGAGGTGTGAGAAAACGCATGGGGTGGGTAATAGCACAGTCTCCGCAGGCCCGGGAGAAGCGTGGAGACCGGGCCAGGCCCAGTGGCTTCTGTGACACCTTCACGCTGTTTCTCGGCTGGCTCGGCGGGAAGTCTGCAGAGTCTTCCCAGTGTTTACAGTGGTATCGGGTCTTTCGTCAGGTGAAATAAATACAGACCAAACCAAACCTTGTCAGAGGGTAGCCGGTCACCAAATATATCTTCACATAGTCCCAGGCCTTGAAGGGCACTTTGGGCTGGGTGTAGTGGTTCACGCTGTAATCCCAGCACTTGGGAGGCTGAGGCAGGAGGACTGCAAGTTCGAGGTCAGCCGTGGTCCCAGCTCCAGGCCCTGTCTGCCCTCAAGCTAAGCCTCAGCACCTGTGTTTTGAGTGGACATGGACCCCCAATTCTTCCTGACCTCACTGGCTTGGATGTGAGTGGATTGCAAACCCGTGGACCTCAGAGTGGCTGGTGACATTTCAGTTTCCAAAACCTGGAGACTTGGGGAATCAAACAGCATGGATGTGAGTGGGGGGACTGTGACATTCTGCAGCCAGGCAGAGGGCGGCTGGGGTCACAGCTGCCACCCCCCAGCGTCACCCTGACCGCCCATCTGTCCCTCCCAGAGACCATCTTGGAGCCGGGCGACATGGCGGAGGCCATGGAGATCATGCCCGAGACCCTGGAGTACGGGCTCCTCAGCGCCCACGTGCTGCATTTCCTGAAGGACGTCATCTGCCAGGTGCGGAACTCAGGCTTCGAGGCGCCTCGGGGCAAGGCTGTCTGCTTCCTTTGTTCCACAAATGGGCAGCGGGCGCTGCCACATCACGGGCTGGCGGCTAGTGTGGGCAGGGGGTGCTGGAAAGGACGTGGATGCACAGGAGCGAACGACAGCCTGTCGGATCATGACGAGGGGCGCAAAGGTGCCGACAGAGCTGTGCGTGTGTACAGACGGGCCGGGCATGGCGTCGAAGGTGGCTAACGGGATGACGGCTGGGCTTCCCTTAAGAATCACAAGGACTGGGCTTCAGGGTCACAGGCCTGGCATCCAGCACGCTGGGAGGCTGAGGCAGGAAGATCACAAGTTTGAGCCCAGCCTAGGCAACTTAGTGAGACTGTCTCAAAAACAATCAAGAGTGACTCCTGAGATTTGGGCCTGAGCAACTAGGGGAGCGGTGAGGGCCCCGCGGAGACGGGGCCGGGAGACGGGCTTCTGCCCCACGCATGTTGTGCTATCCAGGCTGCTAGAGCTTGTGTGGAGCCGCGAGGTGGGCTCGCGTCTGCAGCCTGGGAGAAAAGTCTTTGGCCCCTGCTGCGTCACACGGCATGGTCTCTGCCACAGGGCACACACAGCTTGTCTCACGGGAAGGCTCACCTCGACAGGACCTGGGAGAAATGAGAGCAAGGAGGGCCCAGGAGAACGTGGAGCCCAGAGGGAGAGCGGTGGGAACGGCTGGAGGGGGTCCGGCTTGGTGGCGGCAGCCCTCACAGCGCTGCCTCGGCGCTCGGACCTGTGCAGTAGCCGCCTCAGGGCCCAGCTTCCCTCTTCCTCCTGTGCTGCCTTCTCCACGCGGCCCCTTCAGCACGTGGGCGTCGTCGGCATGGAGAAGGCGCAGCACCAAGGGGCTCCCGACCAGGGAGAGGCTTCGACGCAGGGTGCGAGGAACAACCGGGTGGGGGACCCGGAGGTCTGCACAAGACGCCAACGCAGCGGGCATGGCCGGGGAGCCACAGGCCACTGGAGGCTGAGAAGGGGCAGGCAGAAGGGTGCTGCGGGTGGGCGCCCTGCGTGGGACAGAGTCAGCGCTGGCAGTGACCACGCGTGGCCTGCCACGTGTCCTCTGCACTCAGGTTTTCCTGCCAGCCTTGTCGTTCAATCAGCACAAGACGGACTCGGGCCCCGGAGCCCCGGCCGCAGAGCTGCCCGAGTTTTCAGAGTACGAGATAGACCTGCCCAAGGTGCCGGGGGAGGCCATGGAGTACCACAGCGTGCAGCTCATCCGCGACGAGTTCCTGATGAACATCCAGAAGTTTTCGGGCAACATCCAGAGGACCATGCAGCAGCTGGAAGGTAGGCGGCCTGGGGAGAGCTCGCCTCGAGGAGCCCGCGTGGGAGTCCAGCTTCTTCCGTCTTTGGTACCAGGGGTTGAACCCAGGGCCTTTCCACTGAGCTACAGCCCCACCCCACCCCTGGTCCCCCTTTTAAACTTTGAAACAGGATCTCACTAAGTTGTTAAATCATCCAGGCCAGGGTCAAACTTGCAGTCCTCTTGCCTCAGCCTCCTGAGTGCTGGGACTATAGGCCTGCACCACCATGCCCAGGGATGAAAAATTACTCTTTGGCCCAGTAAGGAAAGTTTTGGCAACCCCTGTTCTATAATGTCACGGCTAGGGAGAAATGTGATACTATTTCTGGAACACTGACCAATAGCTCTCTGTGGGTTATTGGTGTGCTGGGTACAGTGACGCATCTGCAATCCCAGCTGTTTGGGAGGCTGAGGCAGGAGGATTGCCTGGGCACCACAGCAAAACTCTGTTCCTAAGCATCCCACCCTGCAAAGATAAATTTAGAAATTTAAAATAATCAAGAATGTCAGTTATTGGCTGGGAATTTAAAGACTGTCTTGTTTCCTGCAAGGTGCATCATGTTGTAAATGTCAGGTCATCCTTGGCAAGGTATGTCTTTAATATAAGTGAATATAAGTCTTTAATATTGTATCTGTGTACTTCTACCAGATACATTTATGTTACATATATTAAAAAATATATGCATTGCATTTTGTTACAGTAATATATGTGTGAAGTTTTAAAAAACAGTACTAGCAGATACTAGTGAGTTGAAAAAACTCAACCCTGTCTTATTTTCCCTGCTTTTTTTCTTTTTTTTTGAGACAGGGTCTTGTTATGCAGTCAGGCCGGCTTTGATCTCACTTTGTAGCCCAGGCTGCCCTCGAACTCACAACGATCCTCCTGTCTCAGCCTCCTGAGTGCTGGGATTACAGGTGTGCGCCTCCACGCCTGGCCCCTGCCATGTATTTTTAAATGGTTTTTTGAGACAGGGTCTCATTATGCAGTCCACGCTGGCCTTCAACTCATTATATAGTTCAGGTTGGCCTGAATTTATGGTGATCCTCCTGCCTCAGCCTCCTGCATGCTTGGATGATAGGTTTGTTCCACCATACTGAGCATGCCTAATTTTTAAAAGTCAAAGTCACCAAGTTGTAAATTCAGATATATCTTAGATTACCACAGAACAATCGTAAAGTGCTTCAGTTAAATTCAAGTACATTCAAGTTACATTCAAGTAGAGGGGAAGGAGCTAGAGCCGGGGAGGGACCTGAGATGCTGGCCTCATTCTGCGGTGCCTGGGATGAGGAGCAGCATTACTGTCCGCAGCGTTTGCTCCCTGGCCAACCAGCTGCTTCCATCCCGCCAGGTGAGATCAAGCTGGAGATGCCGGCCATCAGCGTGGAGGGGGACGTGGCCGACCTGGCAAGCGACCCAGACACCCTCGAGGCCCTGGAGCAGTGTGTGATAAACTGGCTCAATCAGATCTCGGCAGCTGTCGAAGGGCAGCTCAAGAAGACCCCCCAGGTGAGCAGAGCAGGGCTTCTCTGAGCCCCACTGACGGCCACGGGATCCCTCTGAGCTGCAAGTCTAGGGCACGGGCGCGTGCAGCCTCTTCTTCCTATGCGACGGCTTCTGGTTCTGTGCTGCTGGTAGTGAAGATGATTCTGTGTGTCAGCCAGAGGGAGGAAACCAACTCAGCTGGCTTAAATAAGAGAGAATTCCGTGGCTTACATAACTGGCAGGTCCGGAGGCAGCTCTGGCTTCAGGCACGGTTTGATCAGGACACTGGCTGAGAAGCGCTGGGTTCCAGCCTCCGCTCGGGGCTGAGGCCTCCTCTGCGGGCTGGTTTCCCGCAAGGCAGCGCATGGTGCCGGTTTAGAAACAAGTGTCCACTCTCAGGGGCACGAGAGAGTTTCTGTGTTTGTGTCCTTTCTCAGGGCAACGGCCCCCTGGCCGAGATTGAATTCTGGCGGGAGAGAAACGCGACCTTAAGTGCGCTGCATGAACAAACGAGGCTGCCGGTGGTCAGGAAGGTCCTGGACGTGATCAAGGCGGCCGACTCCATGCTGGTGGCCAACGTGCAGCCGGTCCTGACCGAGCTCTTCAAGCTGCACATGGAGGCCTCCGACAACGTGCGCTTCCTCTCCACCGTGGAGCGGCACTTCAAGGTGCGCTTGCTTTCTCTCTCCCTGTTCCCACCCTCCCGGAGACCGAGCTCAGGGCCTTTGCACTGAGCCATGCCCCTAAACCCCTCTTTCATTTTTTATTTGGAGCCAGAGTCTTGTTAAGATGCCCAAGCTGGGCTCCAGCTTGCTATCCTCCTGCCTCAGCCTCCCAGAGTGCTGGGATTATGGGCATGCACCACCACGCCTGGCCAATATTTATCTTTAAGCACTCCTCAGTGTACAGCCCACTGGTGTTCCCCACACCATGTGCCATCACGGTGTCTGTATCCAAAGCGCTCTCACTCTGAACTGAAACCAAAGCATCCGCCGCCAACCCCCCCTTCCGCCTCCCCCGCCCCCTCGTCACCTCTGCTCTGCTTTGGAATCCATCACCTGACGGGCAGGTGGGTCACTCTCACCTTGTAGTCCTCACCAGCAGCGCTGCTGAGCGTCTGTACGGCAGTGCGTGCTTACTCATCCTCAACCGGCGGAGGAGCGGCCGGCCACTGCGCGGTCAGGCTCCCTCTGGAGGGATTTCTACACGGTTCCCGCCGTGCGGCACCATTTCACATTCTCGCCAGCAGCATCTGAGCGGGCCGTGTGCCGGACCCTCAGTAACGCTTGTGTCATCTACGTTTTTGATGCTAGCCATGCTTGTGGCTGTGGCTTTGCCTTGTGTTCCCCTATCACTAATGAGGTTGAAACTTCCTTGTGCACTCAGTGTGCTTATCATCAATTTGCATGTCTTTGGTGAAACATCCGTTTCAATCTTCCCCATATTTTTTTCTTTTTCAATTTTTTTGGTCTTGTTGAGACAGGGTCTCGCTATGCAGTTCAAGCTGGCCTTGAGCTCACTCTGTAGCCTAGGCTGGTCTCAAACTCACAACGATCCTCCTGCCTCAGCCTCCCGAGTGCTGGGATTACAGGTGTGTGCCACCACGCCTGGCTAAAATTTTTTTTTTTGTTTTTTTTTTAAGGTACTGGGAATCGAACTCAGGACCCTGTGCTTGCCACGCAGGCACTTGTGCTGCTGAGCTATATGCCCAGCTCCCTTCTGCACATTTTATTGTTGTTATTATTATTATTGTCTTGTTGATTTATGAGATGTACTAAAAAATGGTCAATGTTTACATTACAAATATATTACAGTGCTGGGTGTGGTGCTGTATACCTATAATCTTAGCACTTGAGAGGCTGAAGCAGGAGGATCGCTGTGAGTTTGAGGTCAGCCTGCACTACATAGTGAATTCAAAGCCAGTCTGAATTGCATCTGCAGCAAGACTCTTTCTCAAACAAACAAACAAACAAAATGCCTAAAATACAAACAAATAAGTAAAATCTATTACAGACCCAGATGTGGTGGCGCATGCCTATGATCCCAGCACTTGAGAGGCTGAGGCAGGAGGGTCACCACAAGTTTAAGGCCAGCCTGAGCTACCTAGTGAGTTCAAGGCCAGTCTGAACTACATAGCGAGACCCCGTCTCAAAAAAAAAATATTATTACAATAAAAGACACATTGCCATTGACTCTGTGAAGCGGTTCTGGAGTCCTCTTTCTGAGGGTCTTTAGTTGTGCTCTTGTGGCTGTCTTGAGTCGATTAAAAATGTTTAACTTTCCTGATCACTTTGATTTGGGAAAGAGCCGGAAGTTGCACAGTGCCAGATCTGATGAACAAGGTGGGTGGGAACACGCTGTCATGCTTCTGTGAGCCTAGCTTTCCATTAGATGGCACGTGGCCACAGATTTCACTGTGCTTTTGATCACACCTCTCAAAGACACTCAGGGAAGAAGACCTCTAGAACTGCTTCCTAAGGTGGCAAGAATGCTTCATAGAGTATGTTCGAAGCTAGGGAACATATTTTGAAGGTGATTAGAGCAAGAGTTTTACTGTAATAAATGGTTTAAACATTTAAACATTGACTGGGTATTTTGGTCATACCTCATATAGAAATTTTTCAAAAACTGAATACCAGTTGTTTCTTAGTTGTGTGATTTGCTGTGTCCCAATATGTGGTTGTCTTGTCACTTTTTTAATGGCAACCGTTGTCCTTGACCCCGTTTCCTGGGCAGGGAGTTTGGGAAGGGCTCAGCCGGGTGGTTCATCTTGGCTCAGTGGCAGCCAAGGGTGGTTGGGCTGGGGGATGCCCTTCCCAGTGGCCCCTCTGCTGCTCTCCTTGGCCCTAGTGCTTCCGGGCTTCTCTTTGTCCTGCTGGAGTGCAGTGGCCCAGGGCCTCTGCAAGTGGCTGGGATGGCTCACCGCGTGGTGGTCTCAGGGTGGCAGAGTGATTGGCTTCTAAGAGGCAGCAAAGAGCCAGCCGAGGGCCATGCATCCCAGAGGCGTGGTGTCACCATCCCTGTATTTTTCTGGCAAAGCAGGAGTGGAGCCATTCAGTCTTGGGGTCTGGGGTGGAGAAGGGGACTGTGCCTCTTGACCAAAGGTGGCCAGGGGAGGTGGGACAGGACCAAAATGTTATCATGCTGTCTTTGCAAAGTGCAACCTGCTGCATGTGACATTTGCACTTTGTGCATACTGCACATGTGAGTACGCTCAGTGTAGGCAATCGGCTCTCCGTGTATGCATGTTCCACATCTGTAGGTGCAGAAAGAAAATAGTTGGAAAAAAGCTGCATGTGCAGACTTTTCTGTTGCCGCTATCCTCTAAATGATCCAGTATAACCCCGTTCATGTAGCATTTACACCGTTAGATATCAGAATCTAGAGATGGTTTAAAGTACCCAGGCGGATATGGGTAGGTTACACGCAAACACTGCACCATTTTACAGAGGAGACTGGAGCGTCATAGAATCTGGTATCTGAGGGGGGTTCTGGAATCCACCCCCCAGGGATACCCAGAGATGACTGCACGGAGGTGCCACATATGTGCCACGCACAAATATATTCTCTGTAGAAAATGCACAAAGATAGCCATACTCCATTACACTTTCCTGCACACTGACATGCTTATACTGCTTATCTGTCCCTCCATGTCAACCTGTACAGACCTATTCTAAGCTTCTTCTTTTTGTTTTTTTGAGACAGGGTCTTGCTGTGTAGTTCAGGTTGGCTTTGAGCTCAGGGTGATCCTCCTGCCTCAGCATCCCGAGTGCTGGGATTATAGGTGTGTGCCACCGTGCCTGGCTCTCAAGGTTTGTTTGTTACATGCTTTCCTCCATAACAAGCACATTTATTTAAAACCAGAACGAGAGGCCTCTTGCACACAAGTCTCTTCCATGGCTGCCTGGTCCGGAGGCTGAGGCTGCCTTGTCACTCTCTGCCCCCGCACAGAACATCACGCATGGCTCCAGCTTCCACGTGGTCCTGGAGACCATCCCCTCCATGATGTGTGCCCTGCGCATGGTGTGGATCATCTCCCGGCACTACAACAAGGACGAGCGCATGATCCCGCTCATGGAACGCGTGGCCTGGGAGATCGCCGAGCGGGTGTGCCGCGTGATCAACCTGCGCACGCTGTTCAGGTGAGGGTGAGGTCTGCCTGGGGCTGGCGCCGGATCCTGAGCAGCTTTGTGATGCACCCACCGCGCAGGGCACCCGCCTAAGGCATGTGACGCAGAGGCTTTGTGTATCTGCAAGACCTGTGTTCTCTTCAGCGCTCCCAGAGAAAGCCTCTGCCTCTTAGCAGCCCCTCTGCATGGGGCCTGTGTGTCTGGCTTCTCTCCTTTGGCATCAAGCGCTCAGGTCATTCCTAGTACAGGTGTCACAGGGCTTCATACATATACATAGCACTCTGGGAGGCTGAGGCAGGAGGACTGCAAGTTTGAGCCAGACTAGGGCAGCTTAGCAACTTAGCAAGTCCCTGTCTCAAAATAAATAATCATAAAAAAAGGGCTATGGATGTAGTAGCTCAGTGTGGAAGCCCTGAGTTCAGGGCCCAGTGCCACAAAAAAGAAATAAATTTTCAGGCACTAGAGAATCTCTCTCTCTCTCTCCATAGTTATATCACACAACATAGAGTTATATGTGATTACATAGAGACAGAATTCTGTTGTAACAGGGACTTTCTTCCTAGGTGTGCTTGGGGAAACTGAGGCAGAGCACGAGGGGTTCCCCAGTTGTGGACCCAGCCCGCCTCAGGTGGGCCAGCCTTTAGGGTGTGAGGGAAAGGGAAATCTTTTTTCTGTTTTGTGTTTTTCTGCAGCTCTGGGGACAGAACCCCGGACCTCATGTGCGCTAAGCATGTGCTCCAACATGGAGCTCCACCCTGGCCCCTTTATTACCTGTTAAAGAAAAATCTGCCTAGGTGACATAGGTACCAGGATCTCAGCAGTGTCACTAATGGCCACTGTCACTGTCACAGGATCCAAGGCCACCACCCCTTCCCAGGCCGGCAGAGAGCTCCCCAGGCCACGGCTGGCCCTGGGCGGAGATGCTGGGGAGAGGACGGAGGTGGTGTGGCGTCCTCCTGTCCCTTGCAAGTGGCCACCAGGGGGCAGCTGGCAGGGGGAGCTAGCACTGGGGACGCAGGTGAGTGTCCTCCCGGGACACCTGCCTCCGGGGAGGGCAGAGGTCCACGCAGCAGCCCTGCCTCTCTGTCTCCCAGGGAGAACCGTGCGAGCGCCCAGCACAAGACCCTGGAGGCCAAGAACACGCTGAAGCTGTGGAAGAAGGCCTACTTCGACACCCGGGCCAAGATCGAGGCCTCGGGCCGGGAAGCCCGCTGGGAGTTTGACCGGAAGCGGCTGTTTGAGAGGACGGACTACATGGCCTCCATCTGCCAGGACCTGTACGACATTCTGCAGGTGGGCTGCTGTTCCTCGGAGGCGCGCAGAAGTGACAGGGTGGAGCTTCTCTCGGGGAAAGGAGGCAGTCTGGCCCTTTGACGGTGGCCCTCGGTGTGGGGAAAGCAGAGGTTGAAGGGCCTGACAGGGAGAAAGTCTTGCGAACGTACGGAACATTTTAGAATATTTTGGAATATTCCACTGCACACCAGGCCTGCCACAACTTCCCCCTGCCTCGTGGTTTTTCTCTGACGTCCTTGGTTCTTCCTTTGTGTCTTTTGCACAGCTCTCCTCTGTCCATTAGATGTTGGAATTCCTCCAAGACCCTCTCTCTTTACTCTTTAAGCTGTGCCATCCTAGACTCTGTCCCACCTGCCACTGACTCTGCAGTTATCTGATCCCTACCTGCTTTTGAATGGATATGCAAAGTGCCGAGTGTCTGTCCTGGGGGTCCCATTCATTCACCCACCCACCCATCCACCCATTCAACTGTCCATCCATCCATCTATCCATCCATCCATCCATCCATCCACCCATCCAGCTAGCTATTCATCTGCTTGTCCATCCATCTCTCCACCCATCCAACTATCCATCTGTCTGTTAATTTGTCCATCCACCCACCCACCCAAGTGTCCATCATCCATCTGTACATCCATCTGTCCATTTATCCATCTTCCCATCTGTTTATCCATCTACCCATCCACTTATCCAGCCATCCAACTGTCCATCCATCCATCCATCCATCCATCCGTCCGTCCGTCCTTCCATCCATCTTCCTGCCTGCTTATCCATCCATCTACCCACCATACTGAATAGTGACAGAGAACACTCAGTGTGCACTTGGCCTTTTGTTGCCATGGGACAGTGGTGAGCAAAACGCAGGCCTGCACCATCTCACAGGCCAGTGCAAAATGGAAATTCAAGGCCCTTTGGTCAAACAGTAGGAAAAAAATGCTGTAAAAGAATTTAAAATAGTGGGACCTGGGATATTGCTCTGTGGCATAGCACCTGCCTGGCAAGCGTAAGGTCCTGAGTTCAATTCCTGGTACCTAAAAAAAAAAAAAAAAAAAGAATTTAAAATAGAAAGCACTTTCTTCCCATATCTCCTCGTCCTGGCTTTTTGGGTTTGTTGCAACAGTAGTAAAAGAAAATGAAGAAAAATTAAACTTTTAAGTTATTAGCATGATTTTTACTGTTCATCTTTATATGAAATGCAAGTTCAGTTAAAATGCAAATATAAAGGTCAGTGTAGTTTCACACAACTGTAATCCCAGCCACTTGGGAGGCTGAGGCAGGAGGATCCCAAGTTTGAACCCACTCTGGGCAATTTAGCAACACTGTGTCAAGATAAAAAATAAAAAGGTCAGGAAGGGGAAATTTCATTTCTCATTTTGAGGCAGGGTCTCCCTAAGTTGTGCAGGCTGGGCTCCAACTTGGGATCCTCCTGCCTCAGCCTCCTAGTGTGCTGGGATGATAGGCCTGCATCACCAGGACCAGTTCTACCTTTGCTATCCTTGTCTGTTGTCACTTTCAGTGTCTGTGGCTGGCTAAGGAAGTGAGTGGCAGGAGTCAGAAGGGAAGAGCCAGGCTCCTGGCCCATGTGTGTTTTGTGGAACACCTGTAGCCTCCTTTTCTCACTTGAAGCAAGTTCTGGTTTGAGTGGAGAATGTGGCCTCCCCACGTCCGTGCCCAGCATACTCGTTATAGACGCAGCACACTCACTCATACTGGCTGCGTGTCTCTGCTTGTGCGAGTGGACTGGGTGGCGAGGAAGCAGACGGGCGGGTTCCTCTATCCCTTGTGTGCGCCTCAGTGCTGTCAGATGCGTCTGAAGACAGCCTGTTAATAATTCACAACAGTGACCACAGAGGCTTCAACCCACTGGGCCCCTCTGAGCCTGGGCCTGGTGCACCTGCCTGCACCAGGTCCCTAGGAAGCCAGGCCTGCAGTCGCACACCTGGTACCCCAGGGCCTTCCATGTAGGGGAAGGGAAGGGCAGCGTGACAATCACTCACGTGTCTGGGCCTTATCCTACGAGTGTGGCCACAGCACCAAGCCTCTCAGCTGGGGAGGAGGCTGCCTGCGTGCGTCCCTTTGTACTAGAACAGCCGCGGGAAGGCCGGAGTGTAACCTTCTTCCCTCTGATCGGACAGGTTATAGAGGAATTTTACAACATATTCGGCCCAGAGCTGAAGGCAGTGACGGGGGACCCTAAACGCATTGACGATGTCCTGTGCAGGGTGGACAGCCTGGTCACCCCCATGGAAAGCCTGACCTTCGACCCCTTCAACATCAGGTCCTCCCAGCACTGGAAATACGTGATAGATGACTTCAAGATTGAGGTTCTGGCAAGTAACGCATCCACCCTTCCGACCTCGGAAGCAGACGCTTTTCTCCTCATGTTAAATTCGAGGGGTTGTGAATGGATCCTCGAGTTATGACCAGCCTGACCTATGAGCAATTCGGGTTATGACTGGAGTTTTAGTTTTAATTTAAGACCAAAGTGTTGATTTGTAGCCTGAATACCAGCTGCTCGTGCTTCCAGATGGTCTGAGATACAGATCGAGCCCTTAAAGGGCTCTGGAGGGAGCGTTACAGCAGCCTGTCCTGGTCGGGGTAGTTGAGAAATCCTGGGCCAGTGTCTCTGAGGATGCTGAGAGCTGCCTGTGTACAGGAGAGACTTTGAAGGCCGTGCAGAGGAGCCTGAGCCTTCGACTGACAGCTGGAGTTGCTGTCGAGCTCAGGAGTGAATTGCATGCAGAAGTCCAGGGTCCACCATAAAACCTCCTTTTACACAAAAAGCAGCTCAGAAGTGTCTATGGTGACCATCATTTCTTCTCTAGGAGGAATAAATTTAAATGGGCCCAGACACAGTAGCATTTCTCCAAAGCTCATTTTCTGCACTAGAAATATAACTGCCCCCCCGCCATATCAAAGAATTTGTAAGTCAATTACAAATAAATCAACTCGGGGCTGGGGATTTAGCTCAGCAGCACAGCGCCTGCCCGGCAAGTGCAAGGTTATGAGTTCAATTCCCGGTATGGGAAAAAAACAAAAAACAAAGAACAAATAAATCAACAGGTCAGTTGCCCCAGGGCCCCTGCCTAGGCACACCTGCGCTGGACGTTTCTCTTTTCTGTTCAGGATTGCAGGTGTGCGCCCCCTCGCTCAGCTTGGAGCTTCCATTTTCTAGATCTCAGGCCTCCTCTTTTCTTGTTGACGCCTTTGCTTTGCTGGAGCACAGTTTTTAGTAGCTTCTTGAGAAAGGTTTCCCAGGCCGTCTGTCCTGCATCTTGTGTATGTGAGTTCTGAGCCAGCAGGTGTGGAAGGCAAGGATGAAATTTTACTTTTCTTCAGGAACTGGAAGACATTCTCCGCGGATGTCTGGCTTCCAGGGTTATTAGTGTCACTCGAGTTTTAATTTCTCTAGAGCTGAGGCTCCTCTCTGTCATGGAATGCGGTGAGGGTGGGAAAGATGGGGTGCTTAATGGTCTGCGTGGGCTGGGTGGAGAAAAGGGTCTTCTGGGTTTGTCCCTCATCTTTACCCGGACCCCAGAATCTTCCTGACCTCTGACTGCCCAGCCTCCGGCAGGTTTGCGGAGGTGCAAGCCGGTGCTCATCTGCGCCCCCTGCTGCCAGCACTAGGGTAACTCTCCACATCTGTAAAATTCTGAGAATTCCCGACCATCTCTCCCAGTGTTGTATCAGGTCCAATTTTGTTTTAAAAATGTGACTTTATACTTCTAAGACTTCCTTCCCTCCCCATTTTGAACTGGTCAGTGATGGGTCAGAAAGAAAAGATGGCAGTCTCCCACTTTTAGGTCGATACCAGCTCCCATTAAAGCACAACAGAAATCTATCCTTCCAGAGGGGTGTGGTGGTGCACGCTTGTAATCCCAGCACTAGGGAAGCTGAGGCAGGAGAATCGCTGCGAGTTTGAGACCAGCCTGGGCTACAAAGTGAGCTCAAGGCCAGCCTGAACTGCACAATAAGACCCTGTCTCAAAAAAAAAAAAAAAAGAATCCATCCCAGGCCACTGATTTCTGCAAGCCCCTCCCCATTGCTTGCTACTGTTTTTCGCAGGATAATTACAGGCCGATGGCACCTGCCTTTTAAACCTTTTTTGTTTTTTTGCAGGTTATTGAGAAAGAAGCAAAAAATTTTATTGATGAGTCTTTTAAGACACTTCGATCAGCTGAAGCAGCATTTGACATGCTTTTAAAATTCAAGCACATTCGGTCCCGGGAGGCTATTAATCGGCAAATGATGATGAAATTCAACGACATTCTGGCACAGTATTATAAAGAGGTAATTGAATAACCGATAACTGCCATAGCCAGAAAAGTATACGTGGCAAATAGTAATCAAATCATTCTATTACCCGTCTTTCGGATGTGGAGAGACTGGAATTTTCTCAGACAAGCTGCCACATAAAACAGGCAACCCAAACAAAGCAGCCTGGCTTATTCAGTGGAGAAATTCAATTCTGACTGACACTTATGAAGTCTGTTATTCACTCGTCACTGGTGGAGCTCTGTGCTATGGAAAATGTCCTGGTGCTAGGCACGGTGGTGCGTGCCTACAGGCTCAGCACCCCGGGAGGCTGAGGCAGAGGGGTCAGGGGCATGTAGCCATTCCGTAAGACCCTGTCTTGAAAATTAAAAAAAAAAAGTTAAAAAGGCTGGGGGTGTCGCTTAGTGCGAAGGTGCTGGGTTCAATCCCTAGTCCCAAGGAAAAGCAGAAAGATGGGAGGGAAGAGGGAAGGAAGAAAAGAGAACAGTTATTGTGCTGATAGGTGCAGCATGGCGAACCTCATCCGTTTTGGTTACTTTTCTCTCATTGCTGAGACAAAATACCTGACGCCCAGAATTAAGGAAGGAAAGGTTTATTTAGCTCATAGTTTGTGGAGGTTTCAGTCCATACTCAGCAGGCTCCAAGGCAGGGTGGCTCATGGCAGAGGGCAACAGTTCATGGTGGCCGAACAGCAAAAGCAGCAAGAGCATAAGGGAGGAGTGGGGCAAGCAGCCTCTTTCTCTCCCTTACATATGCAAAAGTACCCGCCCAGGGGCAGGTGTAGCCCTCACACCCATAATCCCAGCATTAGACCATGGATGGATCGCAAACTCTAGAAGCCTGCTCCCATGACCGCGTGAGGCTTTGTGGGGACACGCAGACACAAACCATAGCACCATCCCAGCTGTCCTTACAGGGAAAACCGTCCAGTCATGGCCGTAGGCACAGAGAAAGAGAGGAACAGGACGGAGCCTACCTCTAAAGCAAGCAGGGCCTTGTGGGAGACACAGGTAGAAGGCACACGACCCTGACCGAGGTGTACACAGGGAGGGTGTGAAAGGGAAGGCCCACGAAGGCGCGCCAGCCCCTCAGGACTCACCGCTGCCGTGACGTGGCCACCTGCTCAGGGACTTCACCCGGCACAGGGTGCTGTCCCGTGGAACTAGGGTCCGAAGTCTGTCCTGCTCTCCTGGACCAGATCCAGGGCTCAGCAGAGCTGTGGGCCCTGCGGGGATCTCCCAGGAACCCCTGGCTTTGGTCTCTCCAGATTCCGCAGAAGCCCGCAGTGCGGGCTGGGTTTGTGCCTGGAGCCTTCACTCTGTGTGAGCCATTGCTGCCGCTTGGCTACAGGGTCGGGGGTGAGAGGAGCATCTCTGCTGCCATTACTGAACCTCCCGCATCCAATCACTCACATGACACGCTTCTCCACACATGTTTGCTCCTGGCCATATCTAGAGCAGATTTCCAGCAACTCCGTCACGCTATGTGCACAGGGCACCCGGTCTGTCATTCCAAGGCACGTTAGAAGAGTACATTTGTTCGTATCTTTTCAGAAAGGGTCTCACTGTGCCATTCAGGCTGATCTTGAACTCACTATGGAGCCCATGCTGGCTTCAACTTATGACAACCCTCCTGTCTCAGCCTCCCGAGTGCTGGGATGACTGCACCACCACGCCAGGCTAGCTTTGCAAATGTTAAACCGAAGGAAAATGACTGGACAGCCTAAGAAAAAGTAGCAAACGATACTTGATCAGGAAGAATAATAGTTTCTATCTTGGAACATTTGTTGACACTCTGGCTTGTGTCTCCAATCCGCCCGGGCTGCCATGGTGCTGTCCGTCGCATCACTGACCGGGTGGCTTCTTGGGTCGCCCTGCAGATTGACATCATCAACAGGATCTTTGTGCAGAACCTGGACAACCCGCCGCTGTGTAAGAACCACCCTCCGGTGGCAGGCGCCATCTACTGGGAGCGCTCTCTGTTTTACCGCATCAAGCACACCATCCTGCGCTTCCAGGAGGTCGAGGAGATCCTGGTCAGCGAGCGGGGCCAGGAGGTGAGCGGCGTCCCGGCTGGCATCCGGCAGCTGGACCACCACCTGCCGTGGGAGGCTCCTGTGGGAGAAGCAGGAGGGTTCAAGTCCTGTCTGCATTGTAGGGGGTCTTTCCTGGGGTTCTCGATTTGGTCAATGTTTTCTTTTTTGAGACAGAGTCCACTATATAGTTCAGGCCGACCTTAAACTCACTGTGTAGCCCAGGCTGAGCTTGGTCTCATGATGATCCTCCTGCCTCAGCCTCCCAGGTGCTGAGAATACAGGCATGAGCCAGTACACCCAACCAGACTTTTCATGAAACACTCAGGTAGTAAAGGTCTTAGGCACATGAGGGTTACATGCTCTCCATCACCACGACCATTATCCTAAGAAAGCAGCCCTGATGGTCAGTGGGTGAGCACACATGGTTCCAATAAAACTTTATCAATGGGTGTAGCCACACCAGTCCTCTTCACATGCGGTTAGGCATTGCTGTTCCTCAGGGTCGCCTTGGAACCCCGTGCAAATATAAAATCCATTCCTTACGCATGGGCCATTCTGAACACAGCCCTCGGCGTGTTCTCTGTGACCGCTGCTCAACGGAGGCTGAGTATAGGTCACAGCGTCTGCCGTAGCCCCTCCAGTGCCCATGAAGACCCTCCTACCTCCTCTTCCAAACCATGTGAGATAATTACAGACGCTTGCGTATGTGCCGAGAAGTGGAAGAAGGAGAGTAGTGAGAAAATGTTATTCCCAAGGGCAAAATGTCAGCTGTGAGCCGGGTGTGGTGGTGCACATCTGTGATCCCAGCACTCAGGAGGCTGAGGCAGGAGGATTGCTGCGAGTTCCAGGCCAGTCTGAACCGCATAGTGAGTTCAAGATCCTGTCACAGACAGACAGACGGCAATTGCTTGAATTCTCTGACAGGTAAAGCAACGCTACCTGGAGGTGGGCAGGACGATGCGGGATTATGAAGAGCGGAAGTACGAGCAGTGGCGAGAGGCCACGGAGCAGAGCCTGCCGACGCTCATGAAGAAGAGCCTGCTCACCAAGGTGCAGCTCCCGGTGCCCACCTCACACGCAACCCCGCACAGCTGGCGGCAGGGCTGTCATTTTCTCTAGGCGCGATCTGTTGGCTCTTGTGAGTTGGTAGGAAAGAGAATGCATAAGAAACGGGCTGGCCACAGCAGCCCTTCTGACACCAGGGGGAAGCGGCTGGACTCTGAGCCTCAGTTTCCCCTTTCAGAGAACGAGCTGGCCCAGACGTAGACACGCGGGCTGGTAGGTGGTCCAGTCATCTCCACAGAGCAGGCAGCTGGCAGGAGGCCGTCTCCTCACAGGCCTCGGCCTTGTAACCCTGGCCGGCTGGAGTGTCTGCCGGATTAGGGCGGAAGGGCGAGGTTGGTGGTTTCCAGTCTTGGAGGAGCAAGGGCCAGGGGACCTTGAGGGAGCTCAGGTCCCGTGTCAGGAAGGGGACAGCCGCCCTCGGATGTGGCTGGATGTGGTCAGGTTTCCCAGTCTTTCAAAGGAAGCCAGAATCCCTGGATTTCTGTGTGAAATCCCCCAGTTTTTGAGTATCAGCAAGCGACCTGAATTCCTTAAGCACTTCGTCTCCTGGATGGCCCGCTGCGCCTGCCCTGTGCCCGGCCCCGTGTCTGGCTGGGCCTGGCTGACCGGGGGCGGATGCGTCTCCTGCAGACTTCTGCCTCTACCGATGAAGTGACCACCACAGACAGAGCGGCCGTGTTCACCATCAACTTCTCCCCGGCGCTCAGAGAGATCATTAATGAAGCCAAGTACTTGGAGCAACTGGGCTTCTCGGTTCCCGAGCTGGCCAGGAATGTGGCCCTGCAGGAGGACAAGTTTCTTAGGTAAAAAATTCTTCTCTTAAATGAGCCGTGAACTCTTTGATCTCAGGACTCCTTTGTACTCTTTAAAAATAATGAAGGCCCCTTCGCCTCAAGCTGGCATTGTTTGGTGGATTTTATAACTGCTCCTATTGGTCTTTTCTTTTCTTTTTCTTTCTTTTGAGACAGGGTCTCACTATGTAGCCTATGCTGACTTCAGTCTCTGGTGATCCTTCTGCCTCAGCCTCCCAAGTGCTGGGATCACAGGCGTGCCTGGTACCACACCCGGTTTAACTACCACTATTGACCACATTAGAAATTAATACTAAGAAGTAGCCTGGCATAGTGGCACATGCCTGGAATCCCAGCATTCTGGGAGGCTGAGGCAGGAGGATTGCCGGTTAGTACCCAGTCTGGACAATTTAGCAACTTAGTGAGATCCTGTCTCTAAATAAAAGATAAAAAGGGGCCACTGACTATAGCTCAGTGCAGAGGCATATGAAAACCCTGGGTCCAATCCCTAGTACAAGAAAAAAAAAACAAAAAACAAGCAAAACAAAGAAGTATGGCTTAAAGTACACATTTACTATACTTACCTGGCAGGGGAGATACCATGATCACAAAGTATGGATTTATTCATCAACCTAAGAATAATAATAATAATCCTATTATATGTTAATGTAAATAACTTTTTAAATAAATTATTTTGGTTTTTCAAAATAGGATCTTACTATGTAGTTCAAGCTGGCCTTAAACTCACTGTGTAGCCCAGCCTCGTCTTGAACTCACAGCAATCCTCCTGCCTCAGCCTCCCAAGTGCTGGGACTATAGGCATGTGCCATCACACCTGGCTTGCAAATAACATTTTTGTGAATGCCCTCTATTTTTTGTGCTAATAAAAAAATTAGCTTTTATTCATCATTGTCCATATTACTAGCTTTTACAACTTGTTTTTAAATTTCGTTTTTTTGAGACAGGGTCTTGCTATGTGGTTCAGGGTGGCCTTGAACTTACTATGTAGCCCAGGCCTGTCCTTGAACTTTTAGTGATCCTCCTGCCTCAGCCTCCCAAGTGCTGGGATGACAGGCAAGCACTACCACCACTGGCTGGTTTTTTAATTTAAAAAAAAATTTTTTTTTTTTGTTTTTTGTTTTTTTTGAGACAGGGTCTCATTATGCAGTTCAGGCTGGCCTTGAACTCTCTTTGATGCCCAGGCTGGTCTCGAACTCACAGCCATCCTCTTGCCTCAGCCTCCCCAGCACTGGGATGACAGGCAGACACCACCACGCTCAGCAATTTAAAAAAAATTTTATTACTGCCTATTTAAATTACGTTCATTATGAGGAGTACGAATGGTTTCCAAGGAAGAAAGTAAGCAGAGTAGCATTGTCTTAAATGTCTACTTTTTTCTGCGCTGCTGGCGTTGGACGCCAGGGGCTCAAATGCTGACCACGGAGCCCCAGCGGCGCTTTGCAGCGGAGCTACCTGGAGTTGCACGCCGCGGCCTGGGCTGCTGGGCGGGGGCTGCGGGGCCTCCCCCGGGCTCACCGACCTCCCCGGGCGCGTTCTCCCGCCGCCGCGCAGGTACACGGAGGGCATCCAGCGCACGCTCGACCACTACCACGCGCTGCTGGGGACGCTGAGCGAGGCGGAGGCGGCGCTGCTGGACGACCAGGCGCAGGAGCTGGTCCGCGTCTTCCGCTCCGGCTACAAGAGGCTGAACTGGAACTCGCTGGGTGAGGCGCGGGGCTCGGGAGGCAGATCGGGCTCTTTCAGGCTGCGGGGTTCGGCTGGAAGTTGTGCCTGTTTAGAGGTAGGGCGGAGTAATTTTTGAGGTTGAATACGGTAACTTGGAGGAACTGAGATCGAAACCCCGGTCTTCCTCTGGGAGCAGAAACAAGATGGGACGCCATTCTGACACTCTGCTGACCTGTCACCTCCAAAAATAAAGCCACCTTTACTCTTCTAAATTAACATTTTAATTTGGGGAGAATTACGGATTCTCTGGCACTTGTAAGAATTAATACAGAAGGGTCCTGCGTGCCCTTCATGAGTTCCTTCTCTGGCAACATCTTGCAAACAAAAACCCCCAAAACAAAAACAAAAACAAACAACGGCACCAAGGTCTGTCTTTTTTTTTGGGAGAGGTCGTACTATGACTTCTGTTTATTTTCAAATGAGAGTGTTTACCTTTCTTAGAGTTGAAGGGTTTTTCCTTTTTTGCAGGACTGGGGATAGAACCCAGGCTTTGCACATGCAGAGCAGGTGCTGCACCCTCGGCTCCTGTGCTGGGCTTTGAGTCTTTGTGTACGCTGGGTACTAGTCCTTTGCTGGCCGGCAGTAGCACACTCACCTCCACGGTGGTGCTTACTTTACATCCTCTTAGTCAGCTCTTTTGTGCCAAAGTTTCAAGTTTTGATGAAGTCCAGTATATCCGTGCTTTTTTTTTTTTGTTTGTTTGTTTTGTTTGTTTGTTTTCTGGTACCGGCAATTGAACTCATGACCTTGCACTTGCCAGGCAGGCGCTGTGCCGCTGAGCTAAATCCCCAGCCCCTTATCAGTGCTTTTTAATAGGCTGTGTTTTTGGAATCAAGCCTAAGAATCACCAACTAGCCCTCGACTGCAAGGATTTTCTATTTTTCCCCTAAGATGCGTAGAGCTTTAGGTTTCACAGTTCTGGCTGTGGTCATTTTGAGGTGTGTGTGTGGTGTGTGTGTGCACACACGTGTGTAAAGAGCGGGACTGATTATCTGGGCTCCACCGGGGTTTCCTGTTCACACCCTTGGTGCGCCCCAGGCAGAAGGGGGTGCAGGCAGCGGCATGGGCGGAGCTCAGGGAGCCAGGGTGGGTCCAGGATGCAGGGCCTGAGCAGCCCTCTGTCCCCAGGGCTCGTCAAACAAGATGACAGGTAGGTGCGGGCAGAAGGGGCTGCACACGAGTCCTGCTCTTCTCCCCGTGAATGTAACATGACCAGCCCAGCACTCTGGGGGCTGAGGCAGGAGGATCCCAAGCTCAAGCCCAGCCCGGCACCTGAGACCCTATCTCACAATAAAATGAACGAGTGAATGAATGAATGAATGGGGTCCTGTGTGAAGGCTTGGGCTCAGCCCCCACACTGCCCCCCGAACTGTCCCCCCACCACGGGACTGACGTCACTCCTGCCATCCGCAGCTGATGCCAGGCGCAGGCCTCCCCGCCGCAGCCCCGCAGGGTCTTCCCAGAGGCTCAGCGCGGAGGTCACGGGCGGTGGCGGGAGGGAGGGAGGGAGACACCGTGGGCAGATGAGTGCCTCTGTGTCCCCAGGCATTGCTGACTACATCACGAGGTGCCGCCAGGCCATCGGGAAGTTCGAGTCGCTGGTGCACCAGATCCACAAGAACGCGGACGACATCTCCTCCAGGCTCACCTTAATCGAGTCCGTCAATCTCTTCAAGTGCCTGGCCGCAAAAAGCGAGGACGAGCTCCCAGGTGGGACCGACTCCCTGTCCTCCGCCTATGACTTTACACGGTGGAGCTCAGTCACCGCCTCATAGTCAGCCAGGAATTCGAGCAAAACGAGATGCAGCCGGGTGTGATGTGCGAATCTGTAATCGCAGCCCTCGGGGAGGCTGAGGCAGGACGATCACAAATTTGCACTCAGCCTGGGCAACTTAGTAAGAATTTGCCTCCAAAACTTTTTTTTTTTCAAGCCAGAGATGTAGCTTAGCGTGAAGGCCCTGGACTTGGTCCTGTTTACTGGGGAACAAAACAAAACAAAATCTAATTTCCCCAAGATGCCAAAGCCACCTGCTGGTGCGACGCCCTTTGACACAGCTGGTGGCGGGCGCTGCAGTGTTGCCATGTTTAGCTTGCGGGGGTCTCGCTTGACTTCGGGTGCTGCCCCATCTCATTGGAGCCGGCAAGGCTGGTGGCTGTCTCTGGATTTCCAAGAGCCCTGGCTGGCGCTGGCACCATGTCCCGGGTGAGGCCGGGTGGTGGGGGCTTGCGGCGTGGTGACGGGGTTCCCCCGCAGGCGTGAAGGAGTTCTTCGAGCACATGGAGCGGGAGCGGGCGCGGGACGTGGAGCGCATGGTGCGGTGGTACCTGGCCATCGGGCCGCTGCTGACCAAGGTGGAGGGGCTGGTGGTCCACACCAACACGGGCCACGCCCCCAAGCTGGCCTCCTACTACGAGTACTGGGAGGGCCGCGTCTACGACGTCCTGACCCGCCTGCTGCTGAAGTAAGTCGCCCTGGTGCCGCGGGGGCCGCGGGAAGTCACGCAGGCCTCGCTCCAGGCCCCAGAGGCCCTGCGCGCTGACACCCCTGCAGGTCCAACCCCTGCCGGCCAGGGTGTCTCCGAGTGAGTCCCGTGCCAGCTGCGGCCAGGGGCCGGCGCCCAGCGCCCAGCCTCAACACCGTGGTGCCCATACCCCGCGGGGCAGAATGGCAGCTTGGGGCCCTTCTGAGCTTTGCCACTGCGACTCTTGTGTGTTGTCGAGGTTGGCATTCATCTCGATGCTCGGTGACTTTCTTCTGAAGGCCCCCAAAGAAACTTGTCTAGTTTTCTGTCTGAGCTTTGCCTGCTGAAAAAGTATTTTCCTTTTTTCACTTTTGTTTTCGAATGATGTGCACACCATGGACTGTGGACTTTGTAGCTTTCTTTCCCTTTTCACCTTGGCTGGTAGGAAGCTTAGAAGAAAAATCTAGCTGGGGTGCAGGTACTTCCAGTTTGCGTCTCATTCCTGGCTCCAGGTGCTGCTCACGTCGCCCTGTGTGGGGCGGCTCAGCCCGCACCCACCTCATGCCGCCCCGCAGATGAGCACACAGACTGCGGGCACCGAGTGACTTGCTGGTGGCCACAGGGAGGAGGATTTGAACCTGGGCAGTCTGACCCCAGCGTAACGGCACAAAAGTCTCCGACTGATGTTGTCTTTCTTCTTAGTTTGCCCCATCTTGATTTTAGGGTCTCTTCCTGCGGTGAAGGCGCCCTTGTCGGCTGCTAACAGACCGGAACAACGTGTTAGCAAGTAAAAGGAGGCTCTCTGGTCTTGTTTTCTGGGCCCCATTTGACACATTTCCCTAGTTCCCTCATTTCTTTTATATTTTATGGTTCCTTCTGACTTAGACGCCTAAAGCAGCCCCTTGTGTGGTGCTCCCCCGACGGAGTTCCCCTTGCTAGTGTGCTGTTTTTCTTCATCCATCCGTGCCTCCGTTTATCTGTTATTCACCCCCTCTTCATCACTGCGTTTATCCATCCGTGCATCTGCCCGTCTGTCTATTCATCCGCCATCCATGCCTTCACCTGTCCATCCTTGCACGCGTGCATCCATCCATGATTCTGTGTCTCCATCCATCCACCTATCCATGTGTCCATCCACCAATCCATCCATCCATCCATCCATGTGTCTGTCCATCCATGCATCCGTCCATCCACCCATCCATGTGTCCGTCCATCCATGCATTCATCCATCCACTTATCCATGTGTCCATCCACCCATCCATGTGTCCGTCCATCCATCCATTCAATCATCCACCCATCCATGTGTCCATCTACCCATCCATCTGTCCATCCACCCATCCATTTGTCCATCCATCCATCCATCCATCC